ATGTCTTTGGAATGTTGTAATATCCACCTGTTCTTCAAGAGATTTTTATATTTGTTTACAATACTGAGAAAACAGAAGCCAGGTTATATTTCCTGACTCTAGCTTTGAGGAACTTTTCTCCATTAAAGAGTGTCAAGGCAACCACGATAGCAGGAAACACAGTACCGATCAGCTTCTGTTTACAATATATTTCCAACATATTTAAAAATATTCCAAAAAAAAAAAATTATTTCAATAAAAATATACAGTCCGTTTCATACCAGTAAACTTGACGCCACTACAAGTTCAAAACTGGCTTTCCTTGTGCCCCATTTCAAAATCAAGAGAAAAGTATGTCCGAGTCTTCCAGCTAGCCAAGAAGAGCAGTTGAAGACCAGCTCTCTTGATAATGAATCACTACACCTTCTCTCCAAGTAGATACAAGTAATGCTACAGCATGCTAGAGCTTCCAATGCAATGGTATAAATAGTTTTATTGACCAATTGTGTAGAAATTGTTGCCTCGAAAGTTTGGCAAGAGGAACATACAATTTGATCACTCAACCCAAGCAGCTGTTCATTGTTTTGCTGCAGTACCCCAGAGGAAACAAGGACCACTCAACAAATGGTGCAATGCCAGACCTCAATCACTCCTGGCACTCACACTGCTTGAACATCCAAAAATCTCATCAGAATAAACAAACCAACTAGATTTATATGGTATAGATTATCTTTCCACATGAATGTTCAAAGTAATTCCTATCTCAAATGGAAAAACCTACAGGCACTTCAAATTTAAGCAGGAAAACACTGTGATAATTTAAAAGGCTTGAAAAAGGAAGCATGGATGTGAACACATTGACATGCAGGGTGAGATAAACTATCATTCCCATGAATCCCCAGTGTGTCAGCCATGGAACTCAGATAATGCACAAGTAAACAAGGAACAAAACTGAAGCACTGGAAGATAACTCAATCAGGGCTCCTTCCATGTCAGTCAAAACAGAAAATAGAAGTTGGTCAGTCAGACTGGCTAAAAAAGTGTGATGTCGTGCCCCATAAAGATCCATGCGGGACAACTCTTGTTTACTACGTTTAAAAATGACTTGGATTCATAATTTATGCATGACTCCAAATTGGGGAGTATCATTAGTAATGAAGGAGACAGTGAAAAAGTACAAGTCGATATTAACGAACTTGCAGAATGGTCATTTAATTGTCAAACTAATTTCAATATCAGCAAGTGTGAAGCAGTGCATTTTGCTTAGAAGAATAAGCAGATGACATATTTCTTAGAAAACATGACTTCCACATATGCTCAGAGAGCGAGAGTTGTCAACAGGTGACTTAACGAGGGAACACACATAGCCAAAACATTACTTGATATCTACATGTACATCCAGATGTCCCAGGATAACAAATCAGGGCAGAAAGACAGTGAGTTTCCCTTTCCCAGCTTACCAGGGTTATGAAATTTAATTTGTAACTATTCATATCAACTGGTTCAGAAACAGTTGAATCTTAGGGGGTTAACCCTACCACATTTTTCTTGGGTCTGTCAGAACTAATCTAGTCATTACCTTACCTATTTGGGTCATCAGGGAAGTTTTCATTCATTTTACTTGAGTGATATAAATAGAGAGTGTATGCCCTACAAATTAATTAAGAAAGAATTTTTTTTTAAACTGATTGTCAATTGGAAATCATAGCAATCTTGCACTTCAATAAAGTTCTTTCCAGTGACTGTACAAAAATAACTGCAGTAGAAGTGAAAGATAATAATGTGATCTGGGATCAAAGGTGCCAATGGCATCAGAATCCCGACTGCATACTGACTTTCAATTTCTTCCTAGCTATCTAGTTGCCTTTTTACATTATTCTACTGCTCAATTTTGGAAAAATAATCCATTTTCTAGGAATAAATTCTCTATATAAACTGGACTAATTGGAATAATGCAAAGCCATTTTACACTTTAACCAGGCAGATATTTACCAAGATTTCACCTATTCAGTCTAAATTAGCAACTGTAATTCTTCAATAAAGCAATCCCACAAATACAGCTGCTGAAGGGATCCCTTGTGGACAAGTATTCACACATGGATAACTTTTGTTCATCTATATTTAGAAAGTATCCAATAATAAAAGATGGAACCAAACAATGCTAAAATCCATGTACTAAAAACAGAATGCTGGAAATACTCAGCACATTAGGCAGCATCCATTCAGTCAGAATAAAGTTAATGTTTGAGGCCAACGACTTTTCATTAAACAAAACTTTAAAACTTTTGACTGAATACTTTGTAGTGAGAAGTTAAAGTCAGTATCAGAACCATGAGTTAAAATATTTTCATGTTACAAGGAATTTACAAATACACCTATTTCTTCCACTCCAAGATCTGGTTATGATGTTCATCAGTGCCAAATTAAATAATTGCCCACTCTTGTGGAAAACATTTAGTCTCCATTCTAGCTGAACTGAGGCTACACACTAAGTTTGGAAGTAAAACCTACAATATTCATCATAGGTACGCTGGTGTAGTGTTTATAACACTGGATTATTAATCCTTAGAATGCGAGTTCACAAATAATTCAATTTTAAAAATCTGGAATCAGTGAAACAATATACTGTATTGAAATTCAAAGTTGTCAGATCACCATAAAATATCTAACTGATCATTGATATTCTTTGAAAGAGATAATTCTGCTGCCTTCGACTAGGCCAGCCCATTTGCAACTCCAGTCGCACAGAAATGTGAGACTATTAAATGTCTTTTGAAGCAGCCTAATAAGTCTTCTTTAGCAGTTTAACAGCTGAATGAAAGTCCACCCTATTTTATCACGACAACTACAGGAAGACTACCAATGCTAGCTTTGCAAAACTCACAAAAGGCATCTAGATAGGTATATGAATAGGAAGGGTTTAGCGGGCTATGGGCCAAATGCAGGTAAACGGGACTAGATTTACTTAGGATATCTGGTTAGCATGGACAAGATGGACCGAAGGGTCTGCTATATTAATCAAAATGGCCTCACAAATCAAAGATATATGGAAATCACAAGATTACCCCCAGAGCACACAGAACCACTTAATTGACCATTGAATTTTCTTATTGAAACTGTAATGATTCAATGTCCATTAGAGACTACTGGTACATCCCCAAAATGGCCAGATTATTTTAAGCATAGATGCAGACATATTTGAAATTGTTACAATACACTTTGCCTCCCAGATTGCCAGCTGTCCTGCTGAGGAGTGAGGATTAGGACTGAGCAGAAGCATCCATACAGTTGATTAAAACATTACCCTTTCAATGGCAGATTAAATTTAGTTTAGGATTAAAATGATCCAGATCCAATTTGATTTTTATCCCCTATTTACAACATATTGTGGCAAAGTATGGTTTCTAACGCCAATCTGCATCAGGATGCAATCTGGCTGTAAATTAGAACATACAACTATACGGATACTACATCTAGATAGGCCAGACTTGAATCAAAGAAGTCAACTTCAAAGGGGTGGCAGGTCTAGTCTGCAATTTCTGACAAACAGAAACCACAGAAATAAGCAGAGAACCAACCAGAAACTCCAAAATAAAGACAAATTGAAATCCAGTTGCAACAGCACAGATTTTAAGAGTTAAAACTTTTACCTTTATACAGATGCTTCACATTCTGCCACATCTTAGAGAGATCCAACTGTGGCAAGCTGTTGTTATAACATCACATTGTCCTTTGATTAGAGAAAGTGGGAAATAATTGCCCTTTACAAAACCAATTTGCATTTATATAGCACCTTTAACATAACAAAACATTAAGGCACTTTCGAGGTATTTTGGTGTAAAAAAACAGGACACCAAGCTACACAAAAAAAAAAGATATTGGGACAAATGACAAATGCTTGGGCAATGAAGTCTGGTTTAAAGGCATCTTAAAGGAAGAAAGATGGATTGAATGAGAGGGTTTTAGGAAAGGAATTCCCAAGTTAAATGCCTTGCAGCTAAAAGCATGGCTCAAGAGGCATGAATTAAAGAAACGTGAAATTTCCCAGAGGATTGTGGAGCTGGATTACATTGTATCAAAGGGAGGGGCTCAGCTACTGAAGGATTTGAAAACAAGGATGAGAATTTGAAAATTAAGGTATTGGTTAACCAGAAGCTGGTCAGCAAGCCAAGAGGTGACAAATGAATGGTATTTGGTACAAGTTATGATATGGGCAGATTTTTCAATGAACCTCATATTTACATGAGAGGCTAGGCCAGAGAGCCTGCCTGCTCGGCACCCTACACCGAACAAATTGCAGAACTGATATAACATCCAATAATTCAATTTTTAAAAAAAAAAAATCAACAGAATTCAGCTAAACAATCAACAGAGAAAATTCCATGCCAAAACTAAGTACTACTTGTCCGCACTGCTTCCTTTAGACATAACTTACATTCTTGAGATCCCCAATTGCAGAGGGATATCAAAATTATCTGCTAACACCATTTCATACATTTAATCTATCCGTTGCCCATCACTTAATTATTCATTACCAGTCTTTAAAAATAACTTTGAATTAATCTCATGAAAAAGTGTTCCTGATGGTTTGTAAAATAAAAAAAAATAAGTATTTCATTTAAAGTCAACGTGGCAGCAAAACATTTCTGTTCTCTTAAATGTACTGAGCAGTTCTATTTAATTCAGATAAATCGGGACTTCTAAAGAATGCAATGTCATCACTTTCACTCACAACAGTGAAGACACGGGCGTATTTTTGCTTTCTATGGACAGAAATTAAAGACATAAATTTAATAAAACAAGCTGATTAACACCGCAGATAAAAGATAAACATCCAGGCAATGGCCTGACCCCGGGTTCCCCAGCGCTTGCACTGTTGTTATTCAATGGATCAAGCATCGGTTTTCCAGGTGTTAAGTCAAATGTCTTCGTGATAAGATTCGTTACTCTGTTTCTCGAGTTGTGCCTCCACCGTGAATCTCTGAGGTAATTTAGAAATCCTGTAACTGGCGATTCTTTACCTTCTTCGGTTCCTGAGCCTCTGACAAGCGAGTCTGCAGCTTTAAAACCTGCTCCTGCAACCCGTCAGCAGCCATGATCCCACCGTCTCTGGCCCAGCAACCACCCGGAAGTGCTTCCACACATTCAACCTGGAATTGAACAGCAGTCTGTTGTAGTTGATAGACCTTATTCACAACCTCCATCTTAATTTGACGCGTGGCTCGGCAACTTCCACTTTGTGCTTATCAGGAGTTCAACATCGGCCAATCCAAAAATATCCATGTACACGAAAGTATAAAATTGCTAATTCCCATTTCAGATAAACCCCTTGGACTGTAACCTAGTGTCGTATGATTTCTGACTTCTCTGACGACATGCCCTAATATCATAGTATGGAATTATAGAAAATCCGGTAGGATGTCCAATTTTACTTTAAATCTGCCTGTGACATTTTTAAAGCTGCTGTACAGATACAAGTTGTTGTTGCAGCTGATAATAATAGAAATAAGTACAGTTGATTAAACGTATTAATGATACATGAAAGCTAGATTTATTCCTATATAGGAATTATTCCTATAATTGTTTTTATTAATAACTAACAAAAACCTCTCCGTGTAGTAAGTTGTTGTTAAACAGTTTGATTTCAAGAACAACAAGAATTAGATTACTGTTCTGACTCTGCATCTCCCCTTAGGCAGTCCCTGGAGACTGAGGATGACTGTCTTCCACTCTGAAGCTGGGGATCCTGAGGTGACTAAACAGTCCACTGCTAGGTCCATACAGCCTGCCACGTATAGGCAGGTGGTATTTGAGGATAAGGTGTTTGGTATGTTGAAATTTCTGCATGCTCTTTCCTCTGTTTGTGCTTGGGCCTATTCAAACAGAATGACACCTTCATGGGTGTTTCTTCTGTTTGTGTGATCGTGGGAGAGAGATTCCCAGGTATCAGTGGGGATGTCACAATTTTTCAGGGATAATTTGAGGACATCCTTTAAGCATTTCTCCTGCCTTCCTGGTAACCACTTAGTCTTGGAGTCATAGAGTAATACAGCATGGAAACAGGCCTTTTGGCTCAAACTGGTGCCCACTCAGCTAGTTCCAATTGCCACACTTGGTCCATATCCCTCTAAACCCTTCCCATCCATGTACCTATCCAAATGTTTTTTAAATGTTGCTATTATACCTGCATCAACTTGCCATATAAATTCCAGAATAAGTAATTTTTTCTAGAATCTTGTGTTACACATGTAAACAACATGACCTACCCAACACAACTAATGCACCATAAGCAGTGACAGAGATGTTGGCCTGAGAAAAGACACAATTAAATTTGCAGGATTTTTTGGAGGTTTCACTGATGATATTTCTCAAGGGATTTGCAGTATCTGTCGTACATTGTCTACATCTCCAATACATACATGAGGACTGGAAATACTGTTGCTGTTAACCCATGAGCTTGGTGTTGAGATTGAGATATTCATCATCAAATACTCTCTTCCTGTCCTGGGACATTGGAGACAATATTGAATTTCATCATCTATGTCTGCCCTCACTGAGAAGAGGCTCTCAGATATGAAAATTGATTCACATTGTCCCATGATTTACCATGGATTTTGATAGTTGTGGGGATAATCTTCTACAGACTGGTAAAGGACCTTTGTTTTCTTGAAGTTTAGCTTAAGGACCATTCTCTCATGCCTCCATGAATACATTGATGATGGTTAGGATCTCAGCTTCAGAGTATGGTGCACACATGCAGGCATCTTCTGAATACCACACCTCAATGACAGAGATTTTGGTTCTAGACTGGAGGGATGCAAGTTGACAGTTCCCACTTATCTTATAGATTAGTTCCACACCAGCAAGAAGCTTCCTGAATATGGAGTGGAGTGTTGCAGGGAGCAAAATGGAGAAGAGTATTGGCATAATGACGCAGCATCACTTGACAGTAGTTTACGTTCATATTCGGTCTGTGGAGAGTCTTTTGCGGGGGATCATGACTTGCATGTCATTGTGCAGCAGATGGAGGATGCTGATGAATTTATGCAAGAACCAAATTTAATGAGGATCTTCTGTAACCGGTCTCTGTTGACAGAGGTGGAGGCCTTTCTGAATTGAAAGAAGAACAGGTATAAAGGTTGTTGCTGCTCTCTGCACTTTTCTTGTATTTATCGCACTGTGAAGATCATGTCCACCTGAATCTTTTGGTCTTGAATAAAAACTACATTATCACATCTGGAGGAGTTCTTCAGCTATTGGGAAGAGCTGGTTGAAGAGAATTCTTGCAGATACCTTCCCATGATGGTAAGCAGAGAAACCCCTCTGCAGTTACTGCAATTGACATTCTTTCTTTCTTTCTTGAAATTGTTATAATATGGCATCTCAAAGATCCCTGATATGCTGTCCACCTGCCAGATGAGGGAGATGAGGTTATCTGCTTGTGCCAAATGTGCTTCACTACTGTATTTCAGTATTTTGGCAGTATTGGCTGCTCTGGTAGCCTATTTGTTCTCAGTTTTTGTATGAAATTTTCAATGTCATGTCAGGCTAGGGCTGTGTTAACGTCATGGGGAGTAGAGTGCCATGTGAAGCAGTCAATTTATGTCCAGACCGAATCTCTATTGAGGAAATCCTCAAAGTCCTCCTTCCAAAAAGTGTGGACTGTCACTCTGTCCTTGATGGACATCACTCCATCTTTAGCTTTTAGTGGAGTATTGAATTGAATTAGCTTTATTGTCACATATATTCAAATGAGTACAGTGAAAAGTTTAAATGATGCTACTTATAGTGCTAACTTAGGTACAAAGGTACCTAGGTACAGCTTCTGCAGTTACAAGATCTTAGAAGATAGAGAAATAAAAGTCCTGCATTGCAGAAACAGAAGTTCAGAACAACAACAGGAGGTCCTGAGATGCTAGGGCCATAAATGGTCTTGACTGCACTGAAGAACCCAGACACTTCATGATTGTCAAAAGTTTCTGGATTTCTTGCACTGTTTCTACACACTACCTGTTCCTTCAGTGTTGAGTGTTTTGTTGAATCTCGACTTTCTTTCAGTTATAGACCCATCTCTTTCCTTAGGGTATCCGTAGTGTTTCCAGCTCAGGAATACCTTTTGGCACCTCCTCATTTTCATGGTCATTCTCATGAAATCAGTCTTTCTGTTTTCTGGTGGAGAAACCTAGAATCTCCCCACAGGTGCTGCTTGCAATTGTTTTCAGAGCAGAACAGGCACCTTGAATATTCAGCAGCTCCTGTTTACTGAGCAATGCTAAATTGGCTGACAGGTGTTGACTGAATAACTTTCTTTGCAGTGTCCTTGAGTTTGACATTGAATTTCCTGCAGCAGTCATGCTCCAGTCACAGTGTGGATGATGCAGACACCCATACAGTTCAGCAATCTGATGATGATATAGGCAAACATGTGCATTGTTCAGTGTGAGGGTGTCGCATAAGCTCTTGTATTTGTCCTTCTGACAAAATAGCGTGTTCATTATGATCAGACCATGCTCTAGACATTTCATTAGGAGGAGAACTCCATTAGAATTTCCCTTCCCTACAGCTTTCTTGCCAATCACTTTTCCAGAGGATTGTGTTCCTTCCAACTCTGGTGTTGAATAAAATCAACTTGTCTGCCTTTGGGACTTGGGATAATAAACGATTAACACAGAAGTAGAATATTTCTTTGGCCTCATCCATTGTTTCCAGGGTTGAGATGTATGCTCTGACTATTCTATATTGCTTCAGGGTAAGAGTGAGCTGAAGAAGTATGAGGCATTCATTCATTTCACTGTTGTGATTATTATTTGACTTATAGAATATGAAAAAATCTGCATTTGGTAAATGAAAAGCAAATTTGTTCAAGGTACATATCTTACATCTATTGGGGTATAGTCTGCATAAAAGAAAAAGAAAAACCTGATAAAGAAAACTATTAACAGAAATTTTGACAGAGTCTAACAGGAGCTTCATACATTAACCAACGTTCTGTTGAGAATTTGCTATTGAGAAGGGTATGTAGAATCATTACATATTTTCATATGAAAATAATTACATTTTCTCCACATATTCCCCCTGCCCCAGGTTCATTCTCTTCTTTTTCTCTCTCTCATTCTAAAGGGATTTGGTTACTGTGGGAGTAGAGTTCCTAGACCACCATTGCACTGCAACACTTTCCTCAAATGACCATCCTCCATGTGACAGCTTAATTACAAAGGCAATTTATTGCACAGAATTACAGTTGCGTCCCTTAATTGGGCATCAGCATCTGTAAACATTCACAGGGACAGAATGGATAGCAATGAAGAGCAGGAATCTTAGATGCTTGCCCCTTATTCAATCTAAGTACATTAACACCAGTTGTAGTATTCCTATTACTGAGCTGATTTTAGCAACTAAGCATAGATTGGGAAATTAAACCTGGGATCTTACTGATCTTCATAGCTGTGCTAACAAAGTTACAACCAATTCTCTGCCCAAGAGGTAATTTTCTAAACATTTTGATTAAATTAAAAATTGATTACAAAATATTCATGTACCCAAAAGCTGAAGTAATTGTTCTAAGCTGTGATAGAAAGCATGTCCATTTAGATAAACCTAAAAGAAAATGTTTAGAATCTAGTGTAATCTTGGTGGTAAATATAACTTATTTTACAGTCAGAATCCAATCTAACTTGATGTTAAATGCAACCTTGATTTAGCAATTAACATTGTCGCCAAGTCTTGAGCAATTAGCCAATGGCCTCATCCTTCAAATGAAATGTTAAACTGAGGTCCCACCTAATTGTTCCACTGATTGGAATGATGTTAAATAAAAGAATCATGTCACTATATGAAAAAGAATGGAGAGGTGTCCTTGTGTCCAAGCCAACATTCTACCCTCAACCCAAATCAACTTGTTCAATAACAGATTAAATCCATCTAGTTTTGTGCAATATTACCATTGACAATATGGCTACTGAATTGGCAATATAGCCAAGGGCTCTCCAGTTCAAAGTAATCTATTGCAGGTTTTGCAAAGTTTTTGAGAGTTAAGGTAAATTGCTTTCCAATTGTTTTTCTATATACTCCCCTCAATTTTCCATTAGTTGTCCTTGGATGGAGATCAGAAGCAAGAGATCTGTCTGAAATCTTCGCTCTCTCCATGAGCTCTCTGCTGTCTTTAAAGAATCTCAAGAGAAGTGGATTTAAACAACCCAGTTGCTTGTAGGCATAAATTCATAACATAAGACTTCACGTAAGTTAGCAGTAATTATCAATGGTTGCATGTTGAGAATAATAAACACAATTTTAAAAATTTTTACAAAAGAATATGATCCTTTACTGATGATGTTGATGAATATTGTTGGGGCAGAACAGCATGCTTTAACCTTTATATGACGTGAGTTGTGCTTGTCCCGGGAGTGATAATGATAATACTAAATGTGCAAAAGTGTTCCTTTACCGAACACAGATATCCATCATCTTGAGAAGCATTTAATTCAACAAGTATAGAAACAAAAGTTAAAATGTTAGTTTGCCTCCTACATCCATATTGCCTCAATAAGTCCATTCACAACATTGGTGTCATATTTGACCCAGAGATGAAGTTCTGATCATATTTTTACAACATTCCTCTTCCATATCAGCATCAAAATTCACCTGTCTCACTTTACGTGAAGCTGAAACCCTCATTCTTGCTTTTATTACCCCTAGACTTGACTACTTCTGTCCTCTATAAACTTGAAGGCATTGTAAACTCTGCTGTCTTCGTCTTAACTTGTAGCAAATAGAATTCAACTATCACCACTGTGCTCACTGCTTAACATTGGCTCCTGGTCAAGCTATTAATTGATACTTAAATTTTCATCCTTGTCTTCAAATTTCTCAACCACCTAACTCCACCCTATCTCTGTAATCTCCTCCAGTCACACAATCCTCTGAAATTTCTGTCCTTCATTCTGGCGTTAGAATGGTGTTAGAATGGGATGATGTGCTCATCCAATTCTGGCCTTTTGCATATCTCTAATTTTAATTACTTCACTATTTATGGTCAGTTTCCTGGGTCCTAAACTTCAGAATTCCCTCCTTGCACCCATCTGTCTCTCTACCTTATTTTCATCTTCTAAGGCACTCCTTAAAACCTACCTCTTTGACCAAGCTTTTAGTTATCTGACCTAATCTCTTTTTATGTCGTTCACTGTCATATTTGTTTTGTGTACATACCGGATTTAAAAATTCAATGGACAATGGAAAGAGTGATAAAGTTGTTCCAACTTTTTCTATGCAGCAATATCTGTATCAGGGGATGTAGATATACTTATATAAGAGGAACAGATGATCTTGGGATGCTTGTCCATAGATCTTTGAAGGTGACAGGACAGGTTAATGGGGTGGTTAAAAAGGCATGTGGGATGCTTACCTTTAATAGTTGTGGCATAGATTATAGGAAGTGCATTTTTATGTAATGTTATGTGGGTGCAAGTTAAACAGTGATCAATGAAGCACCTTGAGCAGTCTGATTACATTAAAGCCATTATATAAATGCAAGGTATTGTTGATACACTAAAGTAAATTAAGTTTGCTTTCTCATTGTAGTATGTGATCAATTTACCAAAGAATTAGCCAAAATAATATATTCCACTGACATGTCACTTATAATAGATTGTTTTATTGATGTATATCAGTGAATAACAACAATTGGTGATATTAGCAATTCAGATACTATCTATACTGTTTAATTTATAGCATCACATCCATATGATAACACTCCCAAAAAAAACACTTCTTTAAATAATAGATATTGCTGCACTCAGAAGTTGGGACAATTTTACCACTTCTTCCGTTGTCCAATGAATTCATTAATCCACTAAGTGTTTAATCTGTGCAGACAAGGAAAATAAGGGTTTCAATCGCCATTCTAGATATTTTCTAATCAACCTGTTCAGAGATGTTATTATACACCTCTGGAGCAGGTGGAACTTGATCCTAGACTAGATGTAGGGAGATATTTTTAATCAACCTGTCCAGCCACCTCTGGAGCAGGTGGGTCTTGAACTACGCTCCTGGCTCACAGACAGGAACACTGCCACTGCACCACAAGAGCCCTTAATTAAATCAACCACTCTCGGCACGATCTCTTGGGTGTTTTCTAATCAACGTGTTCAGAAATGTTATTTCACACCTCCAGAACAGGGGGGATTTGAACCAAGGCTTCCTGTCCCAGAGGTATGGACATTACCACTGGACCACAAGAGACCTTCAATCACCATTCTGTGCAAAATTAGCTGACGTCAGCCACAGCAGGTGATGGAGAGCTGCCATTGACCTTGTGTCCAGTGTTAGAGAAGAAAAATTGGCTAGGGTTTCCATAATGAATTATAATCTCGTGAGTGCTGTTAGAAACACAGTTGTTTTGCAATCAATTGAAGACTGATTGCATTTATTACACACCTCCCAGTTGTTCAACAATCTACTAAGACTGCATGTCAAGACGCATTTTCTATTTCAAGAATGAACTGCCATTGAACCTATCACCTGGAAATGAGAAATTTTCTTTCTTGGTGTCAGAGCTATGGCAACCACATTATTTACCAAGCTATGCCCCTTGCTGGTCTTATACCTTTAAATGAAGTCTACTACAATAATCAATGTGTAAATATATCTGGAAAGTGATTGCATGACCCCAATTTGACTATGAATATATATCATCTAAGATGATTAATTTTCCAACAAATTTGCCCTAAACAATATCACAAAAAAACATATGTAATTCCGTGAACTTAAGTTAACTACATAGAAATGTTATAATTTGAATTGAATCAAACAGTTACACATCAAATAGGTTAAAAATCTTAAAATGCAAATGGCATACTTCATAATCTTTTGATAATTTTTTAATAGAAAGGATTTAAGGAGTTATTTCAAATATTGCATTTTAAAGTATAGCATAAACATAAAAGTTAAAAGGAGTCTAAGCATAGGTAGTTGAGTTACCCTTGATGTTGTTTCCTCAAGATTATATAAATAAGCAATTTATTGACTTTATTTGATATTGATGTACATTTTATACCCATTTTGTTGGCACTTGCCAGTTCCAGGCATTCTAAAGGAAGTCTGGTTAGCATTCCCTTTTTTGGGCAACAAACAAGAGACCAATAAGAAATTTATACAGCCAAGAAAGTTTTTTGAAACAGAAAGCTTGCAAAGACAGGTTTCTTAAACAAAACCTGCAAAAGCATTAGTTAGAAGTCCAGGGAAATAATTAAAAGACATTTGATATTGTAGAGTTTCCCTTTCCTCAGATACTGATCCCCCCCATCTTTTTTAATCACATTTGTATTCTCATTACCCCCTCATGAAAACACCCACTGTTCCCCTCTTTACAAATCACCCACCTCCAATCTTCCTTTCCTCTCCCAAGTTCTCTCAATCTCTCCCAAGATGACATTTTGTCATTCCATAAATCTGCCTTTTTGTATGAACATTTCCAATTAGATTTTCACAACTATAGCATTGCAATCCCTTTAATCAAAGTAATAAATCGCATTCTCTGTGACTGTAACCATGATCTGCTAACACTCCTCCATGGTCCAAGTGCTTCCATTCTTTTTTATTCAGTTATAACTGGCGCACAAAGACTGTTGTGATGCAATGGTTATGTCCCTACCACTGTGCCTGGAGACCCAGGTTCAAGCCCCACCTGCACCAGAGGTGTGTAATAAAATGTCTGAGCAGGTTAGTTAGGAAATAACCAGTGCATTTCCTGTAATGGCTTCTATTTGTGCTCCTACATCAGTCCATCTTCCCAAAGAATTTATCCTCAACTTCCATAGATTTTCATCTACAAAGTGCCCTTTAGCAATATCATGCACAGACAAGGTGCACGTGTACATTGACAATACCCCAGCACTTTTTCACCAAACTTTCTCTTGGCCCCTCCACTGCCTCTGTGTTGTCAGTCTGGTTATCAATTTTTTTAAATACATTCACCAATAACGGCATCACTGGCTAGGTCAGCATTTATTGCCCATCCCTAATTACCATAGGACATTTAAGAGTCAATCACAATCGCTGTGTGTCTGCATACACAGTTAGGCCAGACTGGATAAGGATGGTAGTTTCCTTCCCTAAAGGAATCAGATGGGTTTTTCCTGACAATCGACAGTGGTTTCACGGTCATCAATAGACTCCTGATTCCAGATGTTTATTGAATTCAAATTTCACCATCTGGCAGGATTCAAACCTGGATCTCCAGAACGTTACCTGGGTCTTTGGATTAACAGACCAGTGACAATGCCTCTAGGCCATTGCATTCCCTATCATATATCCAGCTCTACAAGAGCTGAAATCTTCTTCAATTAAACAACATGAAAACTGAAGCCATTGTTTATTGGCCCAGCTCAAACTCCATTCAGTCATCATTGATTGTCCCCTGTCTCTCAAATTTTTCTCTCTCCACTTTTTTAGGGACTCATTAAAACGTAATTCCGTGGTCAAACATTTAATCGCCTGTTTTAATATACCATGAAAGTATAAAATACGGGCAATTAATTTGCAATTCCATCAAGTGGTGGGACTTCTATTTGAGAGAAAACATCTTAACTGAGCCAGGACGCTGAACAGAATCTTACTGGGTCCTGAACAATGTGGGATATGGCAGGTTTTTTTGCAGAATCACTGAAAAGTTCGGAAAACCCTATCTTGACTTTGGGAGCAGCTCACTGCATTGTGCAACAGCTAGCTTCGAGGCAAGTTTACACCAGGCAGCAGCAAGTTGCACATTGAAGAGGATTATTGCTTTTTATGAACTTATTAACCACAGATCTTGTCTTATTAGTATGCAGTTTCCTATCTTACTAACTAGACACTGAGAATTTGTGACATGGAAGTTAGAGCAGGAGCATGGCAACTTCAGCTTGCTTCTGGCTGTGAAGAGCCTACAGGTTGCTCAGGGCAACTTCTGTTGTGATGGCACCTTAATTTTTCTAATGGGAGATCAAAAAATCTTTGTTAATATGGATTACTTGCATGGTGTGCCAATAGCCAGCTCTCAATGTTTAAAACACTGCCAAAGAACAATGAATATTATAAACATATCTGATTATTACAGAAGAGGAATAACATCAAGAATGTCTGAAGAATTGAATAACATCTCTCTCAACAATCCTCAAATTCAGAGTCAAACTTTCATGTTTTTCCCAGTTCTATCTCCCTACAACCCTGTGACATATTCTTTTTCCTTATATGCCAGTGTTTGTGAATTTTGGTGTATCATTTTTAGTTTTGAGATTATTGGTGAATTGTAGAATGTTTGATAAATACAACTAAAACACATGGAAGTCTATTATAGTTGATAGGTTATGGCTCTGTAGCTTTAAGGGATTAATTGCTAGGTGGATAGGATCATAAAAACAGTAGGTGGGCTTGCTGAGCTGAAAACTGGAGCCATGCTGTCTATACATTGCTTGCAATAATGACACTCCAGAGAGATGTTTGTTCGTGAATTTGACCAATACTAAAATTACAAGCATTCGGTTGACTTTGAAATGCTGTAAAATGCATTTATTTCATTAGATCATAACAGAAACTGTAGATTGGGGATGCTAAACCATAACAGTTAGATGAAAGACCGTCCAGGGCAGGTTATGTCTTCATGGATGTGTGGTGCTTAAGAAGGCTCTGATTTCAATTTGTCTATGTAATTGCACCTGGGAGAGTGCTGAATCAAAGCAGTGCTGCTGTTTTCAGATTCCAGCCACTTAAGTAATGAGAAGTCCCTGGAAACCATTAATAGTTAACAGCAGTTGAGAGTGGAGGATAAAGGAAGCCAATAAGCAGTATTTGCCTTGAGCAGCTGGGAAATATTGGAGGTTCAACAAACTCCAAGGCAGTGCCAGCTTACTGAAACTGACCGTTTGCAAAAGAGCTGTGAGTGGGTCCTGGAGTACAGCTTCAGGGATCCTGAAAAATTCAGTCTTAGGTGAAGACATTTAACTACTAGAATGTGAGCAGTTGTTGAGGGAGTATGTGATAGAATGACTTTCAAGGCAGGATCTTTGAAAAAAATTGGAAATGCAGAGGAAACAGTGTTGTAAAGCAGTTTGCTGACTCACAGTGACACTGACATCTGGGTGGGATCTGTCTTGTACACATTGACTATAAAAAGTGCAGTCAATGGGGTGTTCAACCACAATTTAACTGTCAGCTTGTATTTTCCACATGTTAGGCCTGAATGTTAGAGTCTAAGTTGTATATATAATATTGTTTTACTTTGGCTAACCTTGTCTCATAAAGTTTAATTTGTTTGTTGAAAACTGTGGAATCCAATGGCTTCATTTTATTCATAAGTAACTGGGATTCCAAAATTTGTGTAAAGAAAACAAAAAAGTTACTGATCCCAACAGGATCATAACATAAATGTGATGGTTGCATTCAGGATTTTGACTTGAGTGTGATGTCAGGTCTGGGATCATAAAATGAATTGTGATGACAACTTTACTGATTGGCCTGGGTTAATGATTATACTTTTACTAACCTGAATACATCTCCCTTGTACTGTTTGTGTGTGTGAGTATATGTGTGTTGCATCTAGCAACACATACCTGTCACACTTCAGAAATCTCATTAGATTTTAAACTTCATTACCGAACCAAAACAAATTTTAAAGAAAAGGAAGACAGGCTTGGCTTGGCCTGTAACACTATTGGCATGTTCATCTAACAACAGTTAACATTGATTGATCTGTGGCCATTTTTAATAATTTATTCATAGGATGTAAGAGCCACTGGTAAAGTAAGCATTTATTTCCCATTCCAAATTGTCATTGAGAAGATTATGATGGGCCACTGTTGACAACTGAGAGATTTTCTAGACTAGTTCAGAAGCCAGTATCATTACACAGGCTGGAATCACATTTTTTCCCCAAAAATGTACTTTATTCCTAACATTTGTAAAAATGATATGAAAACATTACAACTGGAACCTTGAAGAATTTGTAATAATAATCAACTTGTCCCCACTTTTCCCCTACAAATCACACAACACATTTTTGCACTTCAATGCATTTTCAATCCTTTTATTTTACAAAGTGCATTCTTTGTAAAGCACACAGCTCAAAGAATCTACAGTTTCCAGGTCTTGACATATAATGGCTGAAAACATCATAGACAATGACCTATCCCCATTCTATCTCTGCATTGACTGTCCAAGCTTTAGTGCAACCCTCAGCACATTATCCTGTACTTTGGAATGTGCCAGTCTGCACGTGTCCTAGGTCAAGGACAACATTATGCAATGGAAGACCAGCAAGATTCAGATAGATCCAAGAGCAACTTGACAGTCCTCCAGGCTCAGTTGTTGTTTTTCTTGGTGTGCAACCCTGGGAGCATCCTATGGAACACAAGAGTCCTTACCAGACCAGGAACATAATCACCATCCTACCAGACACCCATTTTACTCAGCAGAAATTAGGTTTTGTATTGTGAGCCATAGATCTACTTTGCAGGAAATGAATAGGTTGTACCTTACAAGAGATAATAGTAAATCAGTCAACCAGCTGAATTGCCTTAAATGGTACAAACTATTTGTTATTGTTTTAAAAGGGTGAATAAACCATTATTCTTTGTACATAACAGCTCTAAATAAGCTAATTGCTGGTAAAACATAAAAAGTTTCAGGTGACAGGCAAAACAAAATCTTTGAACAACAAAATTAGACAGTTAAACACAAAGTACTACTGATGCTAGAATTCTGAAATAGAAACTGTTCATCCAGAGTCATATTGGGCTGAAAATATTAGCTCTGTTTGTCTCACTACAGATGCTGCCAGACCTGCTGAGTTTCTCCATCTCTTTCTAAAATGAGACATTAGTTTGAACAAAGGGTTCAATGCAATCCCTAGCCTGAGACATTGCAAGTTCAAAATAAAAGGAGTGTTCTTGGACTGATGAAAATTCCATTCCTTGCGTGACATGAGGGTGAAAGGTGTCAGGAGGATTCTGGGCTGGGTGGAGACAAGACATGTGGTGCATTGGGTCCCAGCATGGATCCTTCGAGCTGAATGGCCTGTGTCCGTACTGGAAATGACTCAATGGCTCGCCAGGCTACCAGAACCTTTCTCCCCCCACCACCCGGTATTGGGTTGAGCTAGAGACGTCAGTTCCGGTGTGTGGTTTCAGACAGTCTTGTTCTCCAGCTCTTAGAAGCTGGCTGCTGATTTAACACCTCCGCATGAAGCCGCAGTTCTCTCCTGAAACCAACTCAGCGAGTTCCATCAAATAAGGTACAACATTCAGAGACTAGAAAGGGGAAATGAGTGGGGGTAGGTGGAATCTCTACACTGAACAATGCTGCTGTTCACTTGGCGAGAAGTCACCAAGTAAAGTTCCCTCTTGTTTGTAGACGGAGGAGTGCAGTGGTCTCTGTTCAAAATGTTGATTAAAGCTGAGTAAAAATATAACCGGGGGTTTCAGTTGAATGTTCAAATTTAACATTGTGGGCGTGGTGGTGGAAATACTCATTTTAAATCAAAGCAGAACAATCCGTCGAACGAATTCCTGAGATGGTACCAATTGTTTTGAAACGTCATTTAATAAAAATAATCGGTGCGGGGTTTGTTTTCTCTGAGGAAGGGTCACCGGACCCGAAACGTTAACTCTGATTTTTCTTCACAGATGCTGCCAGACCAGCTGAACTTTTCCAGCAGATTGTTTTTGTTTTTGTTTTTGTTTTTGTTCTTGTTCTCTCAAAAGTTTGATTTTGGACTCTGATTCCTCGCTGTTAGAATCTGAAATCGGACACATGAGACTGTCCAGCGCCTCAGTGCCTACTGCTCGTTCAGAATATTGTTTCCAGCCTTAACACGGCGAGAATGTGCGCTTGAATAAAAATTGAAATAATTGATTTCCAACTGCAGCTGTGCTGCCTTTATTATTATAACGGTTGGTCGATTCCGCTTCGTCCATTCGTTTGAGATCTTTATTCTGTTGTCGACTGCAAAATAACTTTTAAAAATGACTCCAACGTTCGATAAACAAGTCGGGCTGCGACAGGTTCTGTGTTGCTATTTCTGTCCTAAAATACCTTAGTAACTATCCGAGCAGCTGGGAGCCTCCACATGACGGACGGATAGCCTCCCAGAAATGAGAGCTCATTGACATGACATACCCTTGTTTCACCTTCAGCTAGCCAGGACCAACGTTACGGTGTTGCAAATTCAGAAGTTAGGCTAATAAACGTCCATTGCTAACCTTACAGACATGTGATTAAGGGGCAAATTTAAATGTGTTTGGAGTGGTGAAGTGGAGCAACTTTTTAGTAAAGTAGCATTTCCAGCATTAGACTTTTAAAGCTGTGGGTGCAGTGTAGCATGAATGTGTCTTCACCGACCTTCAACTTTTTAAGAACTCTTTGAAGAAACTCAGCAGTTCTGGCAGCAACTTTGGAGAGAGAAACAGAATTTCGAGTCCAATATGATTCCTCCTCCAAACAGTTCTGGACTAGAATTGAAATGTAAACTCCATGTCTCTCTCCACAAATGCAGCCAGACCTGCCGAGTTCCTCCAGCATTCCGTGTTTGTTCCAACATTTTTAAACGTGACATTTCCCTGGCTAAGAACAGCCCGTTTTGTTCAGCTCAGGATTAATGTAACTTGCGCTCACTGGGGTAATGTGTCTCTGTGTTGAAGTGCTAAGAATCCTGAACTGCAGATCAAGGCGTCGTGGTAAGGACAACCTTTTCAAGGGAAAAGTGGAACCTCCCATTGTCCATCAGAGAGCATTTGGTTCTCACCAAGAATGAGGTGAATTCTTTTCTGAAGAAGGGTCACTAGGCTTCAAAGGTTAACTCTGATTTCTCTCCGCAGATGCTGCCAGCCCTGCTGAGCTTTTCCAGCAATTTCTTTTTTGTCAGATTTTCAGTATCTGCAGTTCTTCCGGTTTTCTTTCTGAGGTGTATTTTATTTCCCTTTCGATTCCAGTCATTTTCCATTTGACTGGTAGTAATCGATTCCTTGACCCACCTATTTGTGTATGTATGTGTATATCCCGAAGGTGGGCTCTTGTGGGATCGTGTCCCTACCTCTGAGTCCCACCTGCTCCGGAGGTGTATATTAACACCTCTGAACAGGTTGATGAGAAGTATCTATATCACAGAGGCCGACAGATCCCAGTCTACCTGATGTTCGATTCACAAGATTGTGTATGACCGACACATACCAGTTCACAACACTGTAATGTGCTAAATCGAGTGACAAATACAAATTCAACACCGGCTTTTATTCACGTACGATGCTAGCAAGACCTTGTGAATATTTGTTTTTTGTTATTCTTTTTAAAAAGTTGCAAAATGATTGAAATGCGTTTAAGGTTTGGACTGGTGTGTGTTTGTTTTACGAATTCGAACTAAACATGGAAAGAGCTCTGATCTGAGTGGAACTCGGTGCGGTGCCTGGGAAGGGGCTGTTTTGGTAGTTGTCCCCTTGCAGTTCTTCTCCATATTCGCGCATTTCGCCTGACGACATGTGAATATTTATAGGGTTGGCTGGAATGAAATGCGCCCTGTTGGTATTTTTACCCTTCTATTTTAATCAGGAGCCGAGGAAAAGCAGCGTGGTCAGCTTTATAAAGATCCGGCCATTCTCAAAAACCTGAAAGGTAGCATCCTTTACAAAAAAATCCAAAAGCAAATCTTAACTTGCACTTTTCCAATCGCGTGCTTATAGTATTTTGTTAACCAACCTGGGAGCAAGAATGATGTACATCAAAGGTTTCTGGTGGTTTGTCATGGCACTGTGCTAGCGTCTTTTTTTACGGGAGAAATTTCCAACTGCTAAACACAAACAGGGGCTTTATTACCTCTTTAATACCACGTTAGGTCGCTCTGTTTAATTCCGCTCTCAGATCGTCTGATGCACATTTTGGAGATTTGGCTAACTCGCCAAGGTTGGATTTTGGGTTTCCAACCTCAAAAATAAATCTCTTTTTGAGGGAATCTCTCAGATTCAGAAACGGGTAGTATATGCGCAGAGCTAACCTTGCGGACAGATGTGATTAGGAGTAAGTTTTTAAAGTTTAAATACATTTAGGATGATGAAGTGGAGCGATTTTTAATACACAAGTATTTCCGATATGTCTTTTTTTTTAAATAAAAAAGCACCCTCTGCTTTGTGGTACAGTGTGGCGTGAATGTATCTTTTCATTAACCTCCAGCTTTTAAAATAAAAGCAAAATATTGCGGATTTTGAAAATCTGGAGGGGATCAGGCTTCGGGATCTCTTGACGGGATCGTGCATTTTCAGTCTTCGGGATCGCTTTTTTTAGTCGTCCATGGGAGGTAGGATTTACTTACTGTGAATATTGGAATAATTTACAATTGGATTTTTAACAGCAATTTTGTTAATTAATTACAAATTAAAAACAAATCAGAAAGTCAACGCACTCCATTTCTACCATCTGAGAAGGTTCCTATGGTCCCTCTATTCAGTATTTCCAATATTTCGCTTGTACTGTTTAATGTAGAATTCCATTACAATTTGTGATTATTGTTTGTTTGAATATTCCCTCTGTTTTGGAATTGGTTTATATTGAAATAATGCTCAATATTTAACATTTTCTGTACCACTTCCAATCTAACATATTTCAAAGGGAAATTATGGGCTAGACCAGCATTTATGGCCAGCCCTGCATTTTTTGACCTGCTGGAATCCGTAGGGTGTAGGGAGACCCACAGTGCTGTTAGGGTGGGAATACCAGGATTTTGACCCAACTACAGTGAAGGAACCACAATATAGTTCCAAATCAGGATTGAGGCAGACTTGCAGTTGGTGGTGTTCCCATGTGTATCTGCTGCCCTTATTCCTCTAGGTGGCAGAGTTTGGGGCTTGGAATGTGCCTTTGAAGGAGTTAGTGGTGCTCTGGATTTTGCCCACCACATTACACTATGTTCTAACATTGTTGCAGTGACAAGATCATTCTTTGGCTTCAGTATTCATATATATCAACTATATTTTTAAAAGGAGGAAATGAGGAAGGGCTGAAAATCAGAAGGGGAAAGGGAGGCGTTGATTCTTTCAAACATTCCAATGGAGAAACTCCCGAGAATGGGAATCTAATCGCAAACTATTTGGATCTTTTCAGAAGATGGCTCATCAACTTGGTTTGGTTTGGCTTGCCATGAAACTTAGCAGACAAAAGCCAATTCTAGTCAAGCAAAGCAAAATGTACAAAAGGTCAAAGTTCAGCAGACACCAACGTACAATGGAGGCTGTGATCCAAGGGATTCATTTTTCCTGTCAGCATTAATTATCAAAACCACACAGAGGAGAAAATGTGAGGGAATACATTTGAAATCTGGACAAGACTGACAGCTATTGTGTTGCAAATACACTAACACTGCCCTAAATGGGATAGATTTTGAACAGATTAGACAGCTCAAAACTGACCATCCATGAGATGCTTTTGGCCATGAGGATAAGCAGAATTGTATTTAACCATCATCTGCAACCTCAATGTCTTGCATATCCCACCCTTTACCATTAATATCAAGCTGGGATGGATGCGACGGGGTACTCTTGTTCGATGTAAAGTGCAAGACGGCATGCCAGCAGCATCAGCAATACCAAAAAATGAGATATGAATCATGTGAAGTTACAACACAGGACTACTTGCATGCCGAGCACAGTAAATAGCATGTGATAGACAGAGCATGGATCAGATCCAAGCTCTGCAGTCCTGCTACATCCAGCCATAAATGGTCATAGACAACTAAACAGCTAATCAGGAGGAAGAGGCTCCAGAATTATCCTTGTTCTTCATGATGGGGGGAGCATCAACACAAAAGACAGAAGCATTTGCAATCATCTTCAGTAAGAGGTGTCCAGTAGATGATCTAAGTCAGCTTCTTACTGAGGTTCTCCGCATCATAGATGCCAGTTTTCAGCTGATTTGATACACTTCACACAATACCAAAATGGGATTTATGGTATTTGATACTTCAAAGTCCATGCCACTTGACAATATACCAGCAATAGTACTCCGAATAAATGTGCTCGAATTAGCCACAGCCCAGTACAACTACTGAACATTTGCTCCATAATGCTGAGTTTGGCTCCACGAGGGCCAATCACCTCTTGGTCTCATTACAGCCGTACTCCAAACAAGGATGAAGGGGCTGAACTCCAGAGCTGAGATGAAAGTGACAGCTCTTGACATTAAGGCAACATTTGACCAAGTATAGCATCTAGGAGCCCGAGCACAACTGGACTCGATGGGCATTAGGAGAAAACTCTGCTTGTTGGAGTCAGACCTTGCACAAGGTTGTTGGAGATCATTCATCTCAGCTTCAGAGCATTAACCTGAACAACTCCTGGATTAATGACCTTGGACAAACCATATTCAGCTGCTTCCTCAATGACTTTCCCTCCATCATAAGGTCAGAAGTGGGGATCACTGCTGCTGATGGCATAATGTTCAGCATAATTCACAACTTCTCATTTATTGAAGTAGTCAACGTCGATCAGCAGCAAGATATTGACAATAGATAGGCTTCAACTGATGAGTGGAAAAAACACAGGTATCAAACAATGACCATCTCTAAAAGGAGAGAATCTAACCATCTCCCCTTGACAATTATCACTGAATCATCCATTATCAACATCCTGTGAGTTATCATTGACCAGGAACTGAACTGGACCAGTCATATAAACATTGGTTACAACGTCAGGTCACAAGCCAGGAATTCTGAAGTGAATAACTCTCACCTCCTGGTTCCACGAAGTCTCTCAACCATTAACAAGATACAAGACCGAGGTATAAGGGAATATTCTCCCCTTGCCTAGGTGAATGCAGCTCCAGTAATACTCGAGCTCAACCCCATCCAGGACAACGCATCCTACTTGACTGACACCCATCCACCATCTTTAACATTTGCTGCTCCAGCATCAATGTGCAGTACCATCTACAAGAAAGAACATGCAGCATCTCCAAAGATGTACAGGTTACGTAGATAGGCTATGCTAAATTCCCCTGTAATGTCCAGGAATGTGCAAACTAAGTGGATTAGCCATGGTAAAATGGAGGGTTTTGGGATAAGGTGGGGGAGCTGGGTCTGGGTATGACATTCTTTGGAAGTTCAGTGCAGACATGATGGGCCAAACGGCCTCTTTCCGCACTGTAGAGATTCTATGATATGATATTAACTCACCAAGGCTCAACTGACTGCACCTTCCAAACACAATACCTCAACTATCTAGAAAGACCAGGGCAGCAGATACACAAGAATCCCCACTGTACATTTTCCTCCAAACCACATACCATCGAGACTTGCAAATACAGCACCATTCCTGCATATCTCTTGGGTCAAAACCCTGGTACTCCTTTCCTAAAAACACTGGGTGTGACTACTCCCCCGTAGACTACAGCCGTTTAAGAAGGTGGCTCACCACTCCCTTCTCAAGGGCAATTAGGGATGGGCAATAAATGCTGACCCAACCAGTGACACCCCTTCCTATGAACAAATATAAAAAATGAGATCATCAACAAATTTTCCCACCCAAATATCGGCAGTCAGTGACACCCAAAAAGTAGCAAGTCAAAACTCTCACATTGCTTTCTCATGAGAGTTCACAGGTGCTGGAGTAGTTAATCTCAAAATAGCAATCTTTTAATAGAGGAAACAGCAGCTGAGCCTGCCAGGCCCATGACATCAAACTCTCAATTGTGATTAAAAGAAATCTGAAACGTTTAGTATAAATGTTGGAATATTTTACATTCAGCTTTTTTTTTTAAACACAATTTTGCTAATTTTTACACGTTAAATACAGACCAGAAAGTCCATTCACCCGATTTCTATCATCCAAGCAAAACATTCCTATGGTCCTTCTGCTGTGCAGCCAATTGCTTCTTCAGTACTTACAATATGTTGTTGCTTCAGCTGTTTCATCTAGAAATCCTATTAAAATTTGTGATTGTTTGTTTGAACTTTGCCCCACATTTGGAATTGATTTAGATTGAAATTATTTCAGAGATTCAACATTTTCTGTATCTCTTCCTACCTAATATATTTATAAAGGATCATCAGAGTTGCGTCTTTAAAGATGCTAAAGCCCACCTTCTTGCTTTTCCTCACTACTCATATGTTTAACACTAAGGATTTGCATTATGCCTTCAGCATTGTTTCTAGCTGCCTCAATGGCCAGATTGTATGCAATATTTAGGATGTGATATTTCAAAGCACTGTACAATTTCAGTATCACTTCCACTGCATTGCACTCTACTGTTTTTGGCTTTATAGATCAGCATTCTGTTTGTTGTATTGATCCTGTTCTGTAGCAGTTGAGCAGTAAATCTACTAAACATTACTTTTAACATCTCCCTTGGCTATCTCCACAACATGCATTGAGAATATGTCATTAATCTTCTTTACATTGTGCAGTACTTTACAGATTTATAAACAAATTAATCTATTATTCTGCCTACTTGTTCAGTTTGTCCAAATTGTATTATACGCCCCAACTGAATGTAACATAGTTCCAGCTTGAACGTATGTTTACTTTAGCTGCCACTGAGAATGCAGATTGGGAAATTGCCCATCTGCAACTGGTAATTTTCTATCCATGAATTTGTGGTCCTGATCTGCTCTCTGAGTATACTTGGTTGTGTGAAGGGAGGTACAAAGTTGAATTTGACCTCTGCCTCTGTGAATATTTAAAAATGAGTAATTTGTGAATACATTTTTGCTTTTCTTGATTTAAACATTTGGTGACTTCTGGTAGGCCAATAAAAATGAAGGTTGTAGCTAATTCCATGTTAATAATGTCATGCTAAACATCTTGTTAGCAAATCAAAAGGCAAATGTTGATTTGATCTGTCTGCAGCAATTGGTTGTACTATTTAGTAGTTACTCAAACACGAACTGACTGTTAAGGTATTTTACAGTAAAGAGAAAGGTAGACAAATTGTATTGCAAAACAAGTTATGAATCTACACTTTTTTCAGAATTCACTGTCAAAACATTGTAATTTTTTTGTATGCATGGAAATTTGTGGAATAGTAGAGTTTAGTTTTATCTTTTCAAGTATCCAAGTGTGAAACTCCAATATCTGATAAAATATTAATTTTAATTCGGACGGATTTCCATTCAGAAAAAAAAAATTAGTTTAAGTTATTTAAGCTTTTGTTAGGGGGTAATAGAATTATGAAATAATTAATGTTATTAAATTTCTACTTTTTAGATTGAGTTGTGTTTGTAAAACACACAATGGCACCAAAGAAGAAAAGCACTAAGAAAAACAAGACTGAAAAGAATGATTTACCAAAAATAAGCATTGTTGAGGACACAACCATTGACATCGATCAGCTGAACCACCTTAACACACTCTATGATAGTGGATCAAATGGGTTTCGATGCACAGCCACAGAAGTCTCCAATCCCAATCATGGCAACATCCTTTTGGAGGAAATCAGCAGGATGCGCCAGGAGAGACTGTTCTCTGATCTCACACTATCCACTAAAAATAAATCCTTTGATGTCCATAAAGTGGTGATGGCTGCTTGTAGTGATTATTTCCGTAACATGTTGAAAAAAGATCCTTCGATTAAATGTGTAGACGTTAATGATGTTTCACCTTTGGGTTTAACCACTGCGATAACCTATGCCTATACAGGGACACTCAGCTTGTCTCTTTATACTATTGGATGCACCATTGCCACTGCCACCCAATTTCAAATGTATACCTTGATCAATATGTGCACTGACTTCCTCATCCAAGAAATTAATGTGGAAAACTGCATGTACATCTCAAATATTGCTGGGACATATGGATTAAACCACGTTAAAGAGTCAGCAAAGAAATTCATCCGTGAAAATTTCTTGGAGTTTTCAGAAAATGATCAATTCATGAAGCTGACTTATGATCAAATAAGTGATTTGTTGATGGATGACAGCCTGCAATTGCCCTCTGAGCTCACTGCATTTCAAATTGCTATGAAATGGTTGCAATTTGATTCCAAAAGGGTGAAGCATGCAGCTGACCTGTTGAGTAATATCAGATTTGGTACCATTTCAGCTCATGATCTAGTCAGTTATGTTCAACCTATCCCATGTATGATGCAAGATCCAGATTGCCATCGACTCCTAGTTAATGCTATGAACTATCACCTTCTGCCTCATCAACAGAACTCAATGCAATCGAGAAGAACAAAGCTCAGGGGAGGACAGAAGGTTCTGTTAACCGTAGGTGGTCGACCAGCTTTGACTGAGAAGGCTTTGAGTAGAGAAATCTTATACAGAGATCCAGAAAATGGATGGAACAAACTTGCAGAAATGCCAGCTAAAAGCTTCAATCAATGCGTAGTTGTGATGGATGGCTTTTTATACGTGGCTGGTGGTGAGGATCAGAATGATGCCAGAAACCAAGCTAAACATGCTGTCAGCAGTTTAAACAGGTAACGTAAGCCAATTGTTCTGTGGTACATGCAAAGTATTTAATAACTTCAAACTCAGAAAAAAATCTGCAAACTATTTAAGTTTTTTTTTTGTTACTAGGGATATATCCTAATTTTTACAATAAGATAACTTGTGCAATTTAGTGCCCATAATGTCCGTGGGACACCCAAAAACCCTTCAAAGCCATTATGATACTTTTGAAGCACTGTCACTGATGTGATTCTGTTCAGTCAAATGTGGCAGCAGAATTTATACATGTTAAGATCCCATCAACAGCAATGAGATAAGTGATCAGATAATCTACCCCTGTTGGTTAAATCACATCAAGTTTTAATAGCAACCCTAAGGGGAGAGAAATTAGTTTAAAAATGCATACAAATACTGTTTTTTTTTTTTTTTTTTTAAAAACATCGCTTAAAACCTATTTATCAAACATGGTCCCATTTTCTGTTTGAGGATTTCTGGCACTTTGTGACAATGCATCATCTTGGGAACCTGGATTTGATTGGAGGCAAAATGATAGCATTTATTTTCATGAAAACTGTTTCAAATGAAATCAATTCAAGATACCTCAATCAAACACAAGAAAGCACCCACAATTAATTAATAAATACTTTAACTATTATGAAGTCTTCAGTTGATAGCTCCCCTCACTTGCATGTTGCTTCTCAAACTATCTTGGCTGCGGAAGCTTTCTTCACTTCCAGCCACACACCTATAAATGTTCCCTATACAGGCCTGATGAAGGACTGACGGCATTCGCAGTTGACTCTGTCCTGACAAACTTATACCTTCATGCTTACCGGCAATTATGGACGATGCCATTATTGAATTATTCACAATGCAAAAAATTCTATTTACTAGCTGAAAGATGGTATGCAATGAAGAGAAGTGGCATAAAATTGATGCATGTAATCTTTCTCCAAGTGGTGTCTTTTTCATTCCTCAGAGCTGGTGACTGTTATAGTGAATGTAACTAGACATGCTCATAATCTTCCATTTACTTTTTCAATCGATCATTCTTCCTGGCAGTTTAGTCAGTGAGTGTTAGCAGAAATTTGACCATAAGGGTATCTTATTGTTATTTGATATCTAGATAGGATTAGAAGCATGAAATCTGACTAATTTTCCTTAGAGGGAACTGAGACAACTTTAGAATCTTAACAGCACATGTAGGAAACAGCTTCCAATGGACATAAACCATTTCAGGTTTTAGAAAAACCTATTACTCGTGAGCAGAAAAGTAATCATATATTTTATATTTTATATTACTGAACGTTGTTAAAAAATGAACATTCAACAACTGAAAGCAAATCTATTTGACATATGACCAATTTAAGTTTTAGCACTTAGTTGTTCTTACATTACAAAAGATCTTCAAGTGTAGCTGGAGCCAAAACACAATTAATCTATGTATCATTCAGACTGAGGCAATAGTAAGTATCTAGTATCAATTAAATAACCATGCTGTGGTTGTGTGAAACTGCTGACTGTGAATCAGAGAGGGAGCTTTCTCTTAATGTTACCTAATAAATCTCCTTCTTCTTAAACTGATTTATGGGAGTGGCAAAAATAAAATCTGGCTTGAATAGGATTTTTATGTAACGGGGCAGAATGATGCTAAAGATTTGACATTTAAAACACAAATTAAAACTGGTTATTTAAAACTGCCTTATCACATCTTTAAGTCTTTTAAAAGATTCTAAAAAGGTAGTATTGACATATCGTGTTCTTGACTGATCCTCAAGATTATTCAACTGTTACTATTTTATAATGCCATACTTAGATTTGTTCATTTGCAAGAGATGCCTTAATAACTCATGTTTCTTTTAAATCTAGCATACCTCCACAGGCCTGATACCATCTCATTACAGTTATGATACTAAGTATAGCAGTGTCCGTCACATTACATTGACATTGTATTTTAGATGAAAAGTATGAATTAGGGTTTACCTATGCTTTTCGTATCCTCAGAATGTGCCAGAGAATTTCACTACTGACTGAAACAAACACCAACCTTCTAGCTCTTTGTGGAATTTTTTAAGAGACTCCCAATTAATCCCAGAAATTTCCTGCTGTCCTTTTACAGTCAGCAGAACCATTCCCATTTGCAGAAATTGGAACCAATTAGTTTTGTTTTGTTTTACTCGGGTGTTAATACGGACTGGATTATTTTACAAAATTATGAACTTCAACCTAAAATTCAAATAGCTGTGGGCTCTGGCAGGAGAATAGCTTTCAGTTTTAACTTTGACATTTGAAATGGGTTTGACTGCAAAATTTGAAATTAAGGAGATGAAAGCAACCATTTGTGAACTAATACAAATCTTGATTCTCTCTCTCTCTGGATCAAATGTTTCATCAGTTGAACTCCACTCCTGATTTAAGCACTTAAACTGGGTGTCTATTCCATTGCAGACTGACGGAACATTGTTAAGTGAGATGTAAAATCGAGACTCCACCTGTCCTTTCAGATAGATGTAAAAGATCCTTTGCCATTATTCAGGGAAGGAAATTCTCTACAAAATCATGGCCAACATTAATTGTCAACCAACATTTTAAAAAAAGGACTGATTACCACATTGCTGTTTCTTTGTGCACCATTTAGTTGCTGCGTTTTTTCACTTTAGCTTTATTTAACTTTGGGACATCTTGAGATAATGAAGGCATTATGTAAAGCCAAATACTTTTTCTCCAGTGAAATTACAAAGTGCAGTATAATACACGTTCCTTCTTAGTCACTAAAAAAATCTTATTGCTCATTTGAAATTCTTCCCTTGAATCCAATGATGTTTTCAAAAGCAACATTTTTTCAATTAGAAATCTGAGTGAAGAGGCAAGTCCTACAGAATGAGGTACCACTGAAGTTGTAAGGAGTAATAAAATAGGTAGTAAGACCTACAATGACCTCAGTATATACCAAAGTATTTTATGACCAATGAAGTACTTCTCTGACGTTAGTCACTGTTATAATGTAGGAAAGGAAACATGACAGAAGTTATTGAGTGGCAATTTGATGTGTTACAAAATTTCCTGAATTGTTGTGCTGTTGTCTTGTTTTGACTAACTGAGATCAACTGCTACGATTAAAGAATAACTCCACTTTATAATCCACCTCCTAGGATGGTAGAACAGATGAATCTTCAGCTTTTCAACAAGCTATTCATATTAAATGGCAAACCTTATGAAATCATCTCCTTGATGTAATCTTTTCATATCCAAAAGGTATTTTTAAAAAATCATGTTTTTCAGATATGACCCTCGTTTCAATACGTGGTTTCATTTGGCCAGCATGCTTCAGAGGCGAACCCATTTCAGTATGTGTGCTTACAATGGCCTGCTTTTTGCAATTGGTGGTCGGAATTCAGATGGTCCTGTTTTGTCCATGGAATGTTACATCCCTTCCACTAATCAGTGGCAGATGAAGGCTCGGATGGACGTCGCCCGCTGCTGTCATGCTTCTGCTCTTAGCGATGGCAAGATCCTGATAACTGGCGGCTATATCAACAATGGTTACTCTCGTACAGTGTGCGCCTATGATCCAACAATTGACACTTGGAAAGACTATGCTAGTTTGAGTACACCCAGAGGATGGCACTGTGCAGTCACTCTTGGTGATTATAGCTACGTGATGGGGGGTAGTCAGCTTGGGCCGCAAGGTGAGCGGGTTGATGTGATAACGGTTGAACGCTACAATGCTTATAATGGGCAATGGAGCTACGTGGCTCCCCTATCAATTGGTGTAAGCACAGCTGGTGTAACAACCCTGAATGACAGAGTTTATCTAGTCGGAGGTTGGAATGAAAGTGCAAAGAAATACAAGAGCTGCATCCAGATCTACAATCCAGATCTGAATGAATGGACTGAGGAGGATGAGCTACCAGAAGCCACAGTGGGTGTCTCTTGTTGCACCATTATGTTGCCCAACAACAAACTTCGAGAGTCCAGAGCTAGTTCTGTGGCATCTGCAGCAATCAGTATCTAATGAGTAGCATATTTTAAATTTTAAGAAACTCTTTATACAGCCAGACTTCAAATATAAACCCCAGTATTATCACCTAGTTCTTTCATTCATATGGCCTTACCCAACATTTTACCTGACAGTGTCTAGAAAAACTTGCATTATTGGTTTCATGGCAGAGTGGGCAGCAGCTGGGTAACTTTGTCTCCTAGCATTTTCCAGGTAGATATCTTTACAGAAGGGTTTGACAAATCTTTTTACAATTGCCCCAAAAACTCTAATCTGGTGCACTGAAATGTTTTTTTTTCAAAAAATAAGTTTTGTCAAATGTTTTCCATGGAGATAGTGCTTCTTAAATATCAATACAAGTGGCCAAGATACATGTATATCTTAAATCAATCAAAAAATTGTTCACTGGATGCAGTATTCTCCAAGATTCAACCAGTAAATGGTCACTTTCTATCCATCATGTTATTGATTTTATTATGATCTGACATGCTCTGAAGAATGAAATCAGTTATATTTCCAGAATTTAGACTCAATAAAGTTGCATCAATGTTAAGAAGCCTGAGAGAGGAACAAAATGGAGACTGCCTTCTTTAAAAACACCAAATTTATCACATTTCCAAACTGAAAAATAAGAAACTTGTCAACTCTCTTCCCCTTTACTATCACATCTTGAGATAAAGTGAATATTGTACAGAAATGGTAAGGAAATGTTTTGTTGATTAAAGGTAGCCATGACTCATCTAAAAGCTTAAGTGGTTTGCTAAACACTTGAGACAGCACTTTAGACAACCTCACCAAAAAACAATCAAAATCCTTTGAGGTTCCACAGGATGATTCATTTTGATTTGTTAACTGACCAAAGTAGGAAGTGAAATGCCAACAAATTTAGCAATGAGTTGTCAAGATTTTTAAAAAGCAAACATTAAAATAAAGTATCGACATTTTAGTATTAGCTGTATGAAGGTGAAAGCAAAATTTTCAGTTTACTGCAGTGATCATTAGAGTAACGAGAGGGAAGGTTTACATTATGAAAACAACTAGTAATAAAAAAAATAGCAAAATTGAAGGAAGTTGTAAGTTTAAAAAAAAATTAGGTAGTGACAATGATGGAATTTTGTAGCTTTTCAGTATAAGGAAAACAACAAGCTGTAGTAGATAAACCTCAAAGCTCAACTAAAATTCTGTAATCAGAAATTTTCTTTCCACTTTCTACCTTGTTTTAATTTTAAAATAATCTGATGCTTCAAATTGTTGTCAAAAACCAAATCAAAGTTCTCTTCATTTAAAAACTAAACCAACTTACCAAATGAAAAAGAAACAAGTCAGCAAGTAAAATGATGGGACAAGATGGAAGGGTTACAGACTTGAGATTTAACTCAACCTTCCCTCTATTCCTGGTTTATCACATTGCAATAAGAATTGGGGTGTAGTTCTGGAGGTTTAGTCCCATGGCAGAATTAAAATGAAATGTAGCTACAGGGCAATGCAGCAATGTATAAGGGTAGTTTGGATAACAAAGCACAAGAATGGAAAAGGAGTTTGAGAAGGACGAGAGGCAAATTAATGCTTTTAATAGTCCTCTAGCTGTAAAATATCTGACCAAGATTGTGACAAATCACAAAATGAGGCACGTGACTGTTAAGCCCACATACGAGCTTGTCCAAAGCAATTGTTTAAATATCATACTTCAGACCGCAGGATCAAGTTAAATAGCTCACAGCTAAACTATTAGACAGAGGGCCTAGCAATGTAGAGAAGGGGCACAAATTGGTAAGAGGCACTATTGGCATCCCAACAGTTGTCTTGAATTAGAAGTGGCATTAATATGAATAGTGGCTTGAGCAGTGATTGACCTTCTTCACCTTCCTAATGGCATAACAGCATGGAGAGAAACTTTAAGTACAAAAGTCTTTTCATGTAGCCCACTTTAAACGTGACCTGATGGCACAGCATACAGTATGAAACAAATAAAGATACAATTTGTATCATTTTACTCAAAACTTGGAATAGAACTCAAGGGAAATACTATTTCCTAGACGGATCTCATAAGCAGCAAGGAATGATCAAAATTGTGTTGCTGGTAGGAAAACCTTCTATAGGTCTTAAGAAAAGGTGAGAGACTTTACCAAGGTGACAGTGAAAGCAATGGAATCTTGAGTAATTTGAAGTTGTTGCAGTTAAAGTGTTTAGGCTAATGTAAAAAAAGAAATGTCCTGGAAAGTTAAAAATTGATTGCTTATTGAACAAACCTAACTCCCAGTATTTAATGACACTTTTTTAATGAAACTATTGGCCCAAAAAACAAAGAAGCTGTAAATATTTCAAAATAACCTTACATTATCTGTTGTAGACACAATTGAAATAATAGTGATTCCTGAATATCAGTATCATTGAAACTGTATCTGACTAAATCAAGCAATCACTTCTCCAACTGTGCAAATTTTCAATAAAGCACAGAATTGCCAAATTTATACACTGGAAAAATGCCCAGAGAACAGATTTATTTGGAATTAAACTGGGAAAAATGGCCATATGTGAGATATGGGTTGGTGGAAGGTCATGGTGAATAATGTTACGGAGCACTCCTCTTTAAATCAACAATTTAAGACATTCAGTTGCAAATACAGCTCAACACAAAGTACAGTTGAGTATTTTGACTTTTAGAAAATAAACAGCAGAATGAGAAAATGCACACAAGCATTAAAAATAAATCTGAAAAACAGTTCATTCAACATGGTTCACAAGAGAATTGAAGGATAGCTATTTAAGAAAAAATACTACTGTAAACATTCTATTTGGAATACTGGATGAATGATCATTATCAGCAACATATTAGCAAACTGGTGCTAAACATACGGACTCTAATGTTATAATGAATTTGCAATTAATTATTGCTACCATAGCTCACTGGATACAAGACACATGTTGTATCCAGAAGTGAAAGATAACTAATATGGGCTAATAAACACAAGCCAACATAGCTGAGCCCTGATCAATGTAGAACTGATTTCTCAATTTTATGATGACTAGGTTATATCTGAACCAAAGTTTCTATGTAACAGAATAACAACACTGAGAATCTTTCTCTCCCAGGAATTCTCAAACAAGGTTGAATGAAATGGTACAATATATTCAGATCAAGTTTGCATTTATTTAAACTTCATATGCCCAGAGAAAGAGGGGAAGGGAGACCGAGGCTGGAACTGAGGGTGGGGGAGGGGGAAATGACAGAAAAAGTTAATACTGCTCTTTGTGTAACACAGACAGACTGGTGGCTAAAATTAAGTGGAATAATGTTTGAACACTAGAGAAAGTAGCAAGAAGTGTTTTTCAAAGAAAACTGCATTCATCCAATACAGAAATGTCAAGTTCCTTGCATATTCACTGTCATGAAAAGATTTGAATTACTATTTATGTGTGGAATAAAAATATATAAATAGTAAATATGGTGTATTTATTGTGTTTGTCACTACCTTACAGTCATAATGTTTTACACTATATTCTGAAAGTAGTTATTCAGCCATGCAGTGAATTGAAAGCATTCTTTTTCATTCTCTGAAGTTTTAGATGTTAAAAAGAATCACAATGGTTACATAAATAACAACAAAAGAAAATGCGAGAAGCCTTCAGTAGATCTGGAAAATTTGTCGACAGAAGACTTCCTTTGGAAGAAAATACTGATTTTTTTTTTTTTAAAAATAGAAATGGGGAAATATAACAAAGCGCCAGAAAAATGGGAATGACCTCTAAAGTGCTTAAATGAAAGGCAGCAATGAGACAACAGGAGACATCATGAGTAAACCAAAGAAATTACAGACACAAAACCAGAAGTGGAAACACTGAAATCCAGCAAAATAGGGCTAGTTCTCAGTAGAGTCTTATGGTCAGTAGAGGAGGGGGTGGGGAAAAAAAATCAGCTTGACATCAAGAATATAGAATACCTGTACAAACAGCAATCTGATACAAAGTCTCCACCCACACGTAAACCAGCTTCTTCTCATTCACAGAAACAGCCACCCTTGGGTAAAGATTAACTGACAAGGCAATCTGCATCATTGGTATCCATCAGCTTCCTTTCTCACCACATGCCCTGTGTGATATTTTTCTCCTTCTTCATTACCTTGTTCAGTTCCTTCTTGAATGCTGAACATCTTCAACTAAGACAGCGATCAGAGTGGGACATTACAAGTACAGACAGGGGAAGACCACCCAGTCCCAAACAATGTATCACCTGGAGTCACTAGGTGATAGGATTTGAGTACAATGCTCTTCTCTGCAGAACTGCTACTTGATAATAGATGTTTCCTGGTAGTGAGTTCATGGTGCACAGCTTTCCACCAACAACAGCACAAGCAGGAAATCACATATACAAAGCCCAAGAATCCCTGCTTACAGTGGGTGAAACTTTGTTGAGAATGCACAGTTGGAAGATTTAGTTTATTATTCAGGTTTACACCAGAACAATTAGCATTTGGTTGACACTATTGAGCCATACCTTGGAATTTTCAAACAAGGAAAACTGAAATGATTTTAAAAAGGAATTAGAAAATTTTAGGGCTATTGTATGAAAATTTGGATCTACAACAGGATGATTCACACCAAATAGCTCTTATTGCTTTCATGGAATTGTGGTTCTTGAGTTCACAGATAGCCAGAGCACGTATCAAATAGCAGCTTCAAGAGAAGGCTATATTCACTAAACAATGGTAAACTCATCAAGGACATGAACTTTGTCATATTATAGTGGAGTCAGAAAACAGGGTGAACCGGCAATATGATTGACAGTTATCTTTCTGCCTAATCCAAGTTACAATGATGAGGTAACTACCACTAAACTAAAACTGAGTAAGTATCAGATTCTTGTATTAATGACAATTACAAAACATTTTTATTTTCCTGGGAGAATGATACCATCATACTGCAAAAAAAAGAAAAACAAATCATTAGAAAGTGAAATGTCTTGAAACAAATTTCAGTTTGTATTTATCTTGTCATTGAGATTTCTTACTACCACCATGAATACAAAAGTACCTTCTGTTGAAACCAGCGCATGGCCTCCTCTTTGTTGATCCTGTGTTTGGCTCCAATGCGACCACGTTTACGCTTCTTGTCAGCAATGCTGAAGCCTGGTCTTCCCAGAACCTGTCAAATTGAAAAGAGGAGGAAAGGAGTCACAACAAATGCAGGGAGTGGGCAAAGGAAAAGTCCTCATTTGCAATGCTAACAATTTCAAACTTCTTGGCAATGGAAGATCAACACAAGCAGACTGGGCTTTACATATACTGAAAAAACATCAATACCTTTGGATGGTAAATATAGAAGTGAGGGAAGCTCAAAGCTACCAAGAAAAAAGATGGGTAAATCATTGCATATGTGATGTTTCACTAAAGGGACAGAATAGTCCTATGGTTGGAATAGGGGAGGGAAAGAAAACACACAAGAAAGGATAGTAGAAAGAAAAGGGGAACTAAATAATCCAGTTTATAAAATTTTCTAGATAGGTAGTAAAGTGAAGGTCTGAGACCTATTAATTAAGCAAAATATGACAACCAGAAAGTCTTTGATTAATGATTATCAAATAAAATTTATCTGAAATCAATTATGTACACATTTTAGATCAAATAAAGTAAAACAATTCCGGAGGATGGAATAGTTAGCCGACTGTTTAGTTCAAGGCTGACAGATTTAGCAACATAGATGCATTGATCTTTATCAATAGAAAGGATCTATGCTAATGGTCCAAAAGCCCACTAGACTCCCATGAATTAAGAGTTTGAGGTCATTAGGAGAGACACGGGGCAGAATCTTCCTCTTTGTCATGTGTAAGCAATAGCAAGAAAGGTGAAGAAATAGCTGAGAATGGAAAAAGATCAGAACCTCAGAGTAGAGACAAAATGGTCCAATTTTCTCCTCAAACCTTGAACAAAGACTTCAAAGACTCACCACTAGTGCTGACTGCCTTATTTCTATACATTTGCATCTCAATGAAGATCCAACTCGCCTTTTTTATGCATCAGTTCCAATTCTCACCTTTATCAAGAAACTAGACGCACAAATTTTAGGACTTGTAAATTAGAGCAGGTGCCTGGGAGCTATAGCTTGCCAACTGCTTGTCCCAGACATCACCCAACCACTTCTTCATAACAGCATCCCTGCATGTTCAATGGCCACCATCTTCCACAACCTCTCGTCCATGCAAGTTGGCATCAAACCACCTGCTTCACCACACCATGCCTACTTTTGGCTCAACTCTCATACCACTTCAGCCCTTCAACATCTTGGAGTTCAAGGACGATGATGACTTTGTGCTCCTGTCAAGTAACTTTGTGCACAGGGATACACACACATCTCATGCATCTACATGGGATGCGTCTTATGATTCTTGGCTAGCTTTCTTAATTCTCATTAACTTTGCATTTGGTTGAAAAGTCTCTGGACAGTTCACAGTGCTTCCTTAGTACACGAGTCTCCAGTGCTCAGCTACAAGCAGCCAACCTCTGCACCTTGCATCTTTCCTATAGCAGGAATTGAACACTGTACTCTAAAAGTGGCTTCACCGATGCCCTGTACAGCCGCAACATGACTTCCCAACTCCTATACGCAGCGCACTGACCAATGAAGGCAAGCGTGCCAAATACCTTCTTCACCACCCAGAATATGGTCACACTTTCCTAAGGTTCTTGAGTAGATTTGTAGCTCAGGTTGTGGATGCTGTAGATGGTTCTATTGCCAAGCTGGTTCGTTAATTCACAGACATTTCATTACCCTGCTGGGTAACATCATCAGTGCAGCCTCCAATGAAGCACTGTTGTGTTTTCCCGCCTGGTATTTAAACTCTGGGGTCCATTGGAATTGGTTACCTCATTTCCGGTTTTTCTTTGCAGTGGTGTATATATAGGGTCTAATTCTACGTGTTTATTGATGGCCTTCTTGATGGAGAACCAAGCCTCTAGAAATTCCCGTACTTATCTCTGTTTGGCCTGTCCTAAGATCCTGATGTTGTCCCAATCGAACTAGTGGTTCTCCTTATTCCGTGTGAATGGAGACGAGTGAGTACTCACTCCTACAACTCATCTGGTTCATCCTCGACCACAACATCTTCACTTTCAACACCAGTTCTTCATCCAGACACATGGAACAGCCACGGGGACCAAATTTGCACCCCAATATTTTCATGCACAAGTTCAAGCAAGGCTCCTTTGTTATGCAGGACCTCCGACCAATGCTATACACTAGATACATCAACAACATTTTCTTCCTTTGCACTCATGGCATGGAATCACTGAAGCAGCTATGCAGTGATATCAACAAGTTGCATCCCACCATCAGACTTACCATGGACTACTCTTCAGAATCAGTCTCATTCTTGAACACATGCATCTCCATCAAGGATGGACACATCAGTACCTCACACTACTATAAGCCCACAGATAATCTCACAATGCTGCACTTCTCCAGCTTCCACCCTAAACACTTTAAAGAAGCCACCTCCCTACGCATACACAGGATCTGCTCAGATGAGAATGGAGGCCATGGACACCTAAAGATTTTGAAGGACGCCCTCATAAGAACAGGATACAATGCTCAATTCGTCAACCGCAAATTCCAATGTATCACAGCAGTAGCACAGCAAAAAACTGCAATGATCTCCTCAGAAGACAGACATGGGATACGACCGATAGAGTACCCTTCATCGTCCAGAGTGTAGAGATTACACCATGTTCTTCGCAGCCTTCAACATATCATTGATTACAGCGAGCATCTCCCAAGATCTTCCGTACACCTCCACTTCTCGCCTTCAAAGAACCACCAAACCTTAAACAGACCATCATTTGCAGCAAACTACCCAGCCTTCAGGACAACATCGACCACAACCTTGCCATGGCAACCTCTGCATGATATGTCGGATCATCGACGTGGATACTACCATCACAAGTGGGAACACCACTCACCAAGTACATGGCAGATACTCATGTGACTTGACAAATGCTGTCTATCTCCTATGCTGCAGGCAAGGATGACGCGAGGCATGGGATATTGACAAGACTGTGCAGACCCTACGACAACGGATGAATGGACACCACACGACAAACACCAGACAGGAATGTTCCCTCCCAGTTGGGGAACACTTCAGCGGTCAAGGACATTCAGCCTCAGATCTTCGGGTAAGCATCCTCCAAGGCAGACTTCGAGATACACAACAACGCAGAATCACCGAGCAGAAACTGATAGCCAAGTTCTGTACCCATGAAGACAGCCTCAACCATGATCTTGGGTTCATGTCGCGCGACATGTTCCCCACCACACTGTTCTCTATCTGTGAAACCTTCCTTATTATCCTGTTTTGACACCATTACCTTAATAAATTGTTATGATCTCTCTATCCTAATTAGTTTGCACAGTTTTGGATTACTTATTACTTTGGTTAGACCCTCAGCATGCGCCTCTCATACCTATCATGTTATTCCAATCATTTAGTTTGTCTCCAGCACTACCTTATTTTTAATTTTTTGTAATTATCTCTCTGTCTCATTTAATCAGATTATAGGTCATCCCTTCACTTGTTATTCTGCTGTTGGCACTTTACTCACACTGTCTAACACTCTTGGTCACCTGCAGAGATTTATAATTCGACACTCCACTCACATCAGTTGTACGATCTTTTGATCTCTCTGCCTATAAACTCTGGGTCTATGTGCTCTTCTCTCTCACTGCACCTGCTGTAAGGGGCTGCGCTCCAAAAGCTTGTGATTTCAAATAAACCTGTTGGATTATAACCTGGTATCGTATGACTTCTGACAAGTCCAGTAGCCATTTTTCTCATGTGGCTAAAAAGACAAGTAGTAATCATCAGAGACCTCACAATCTAAGATCTCCTAAAACATCTACCGTACACTTTTTTCAACTGGAATCACAAGAAGTGATAGCAGGAATCCTAGGCTTTCAGGGGAAACTAATTCAGAATTTTTCTTTTGTGTTGAGTTAGCTTAAAGTAGAAACAAAGATACACTATGCTCTTTTTTATAATGAACAACAGGGAATTTCCTTTCTTAAAAGAACCTGTTTCCTAACACTATCCAGTGCCTACCACTGGAAACGATGGCTCTTCAGGCAAAGTGGTATTGTTGGACCTCTGGGCCAGGAGGCCCATGTTCATGTTCCACTTGCTCCAGAGATGTGTAACAACATCTCTGAATAGGTTGATTAGAAAATATCTAGCCCCGGAAACTGCACGTTCAATGAGAATAGGACTCAAATCAGCTACCACACTGCTTTCAAAAGCCAGCCAACAATCAGACATGGAAAAAAACAAGAATGGGCTGAGGCAATATAGTAGAAGTTTGTCAGTGCTTCAAGAACCACAGAGTATGAGTTAGCACATTGATGAAAAGAAAACTGCACCAGGATGCTGTTATGGAATTCTAGTTTTGAAATGTCAGCCATACTACAATCTCAATAATCAACATCACCACACAAGTCCAAAGGCCAGCATAATAGTTTCATTTCAGAACCTGAGATCACACACAATTCATAAAATGCGAGCACAACTATCAGTGACTAAGAGTTACGATGTGTTATAGGGTTGGGATAAATTAATATGAATAGAGTCTTTTTCTCACCATAAGGGGCTTGTGTACAATTAACATAAAACCAGGACACCAGAATACCTAAATAACTAACAACCATTTTATGAAAGCAGAATGGCAGCCACTAGGAATGTATTTTAAAAATTGGTTCAGTTTTAAAAAAGAAATAGTTTAGGATATTTTTAAGTCTACTTATAGTAGTACTGAGAGACCTGGGAATAGACATTTTTGGTCTGGGATCAATAGAAAATAGCTGGTGTCAGAAAAATTTCCAACAAGGAGAAAAATGTTTTTGAGCAACATATTTAAATGCATATTCACCTCATTCTTTTAATCCCACAGGCAGCATGTAATATACGGTACGTACCACATAGAAGTCTAAACCATAGATACCGATGCTTGGGTCATACTTAATGCCCAAATCAATGTGCTCCTGAATACCAAAGCCAAAGTTTCCAGTGTCTGAGAAGTTGTTTTTTCTCAGCTCATATTCACGAACCTGTAGATGGAAGGAATAAAATCACTAAAGAGCTTCACGCCTGCCTCTTTTTATAACAAATACTTGATCAAGAAAGGTCAATACTGAGAAACATATAGTTAAATTTCTCCTGAAGCTGTAAAAATTACATGCTTTGATAAATTATTGTCTTTTACCCCTTGAAGTGGTGCTCAATACTTCCTGTACAAGCTATTTCTGTCAACATTCTGTTTAACCCTTATTCAAAAGATGGCTCCTCCAAACATGGCACTGTTCCCTCACTACAACACTGCAGCACCAGCTTTATCACACAGAGCAATTTCTGTTCTCCGCTTGCCCCCAAACCCACTCTAACTGCTTCAAAACTATGTGTATGAGCTGAAGCAAAGAGTGTGCAAAAAGACAAAAGCACCTTTTAAAAATATGGTTCATCGTTACCATTAAAGAGAAAACCTAAATTACTTTCACACACTACTCCAAAATTAAGTCCTACTTACTTTAAGGCCTTTTTCCAGGATCTCTTCAGCTTTGGCACCACGGACTGTGCAGTGAACAGCAATCTTTTCATTTCTCCTAATACCAAAAGATCTTACAGTGTATCGAGCTGTTGGAGGAAAAATTATTTGATCATGCCACATTTTCATAAGCATTTAAGCCACATTTTAAAAAGTTCAAGGACTGCATACAAACTCACCTTTGGAGAAGACAGGTGTTTGACCAGTGAGCTGCTCAAGCACTTTGGCAGCTCGAGTAAGTCGATCACCACTTTCGCCAACACATATGTTCATACAGAGCTTTCTGATACGGAGCTCACGCATTGGGTTTTCTTTCTTCTCACCCTGGTCCTAAATTAAGGGATCACTTTAGAAATCAAGAAATATTTTTCTGGCAGTATTAAGTTTACAGCTGGCCACTGTGACCTTGATGACTTCCTTTTTCTCTCCACACATTCCCCTTATATATTATCATCTGCCACAATACCATTAACACTTCCACAAAAAGTAGCTACAATAATGCAGTTACTAGAATTTCAGTAAATGTTCCAGTAGATTCATGAATTCTCCACACGCTTTCAATTTAACCTCGCAGTCTAACTGGAAATATCTTTTCTCAAATCAGAGCTGTAATTGTGAATTATTCAATAATAGAGAATCGAGTATGGTTATTAAAGAGGTTTCTGATGGAACTTGGCATGCCTATTTCCGTGTTTATCCCTGGTGCTAGAATGATGAATAAATCTAACAAACAGCACTATAACCGTAGTTTCCTAGTTCCACAACTTAGCAATTTGCCTGAATCAGAGAATCAGCATGTATTCAGAACATTAGTACTGATGATATCAGTGCTCTGCTCTCAGATTCTAAATTTATTATGCACTTTTTTTGTTGACATTGATGATGTATCATGGCAAAGTTTTAAAAATTCTTTAACCGGTTGTGGACATCACTGAATAGAGAAGAATTTATTGACCATTCCTAATTATATCTTACCAAAACAAAAATCATGTGCACAATACTCACACCAGAGTTGTTGTATCCAACACCGGTAGGTTTAAGATATTTGTGGCTTTTCCGACTATGGAAAGCTTCCCTCTACTCACTCATCCCTTCTTGCATATATGCCAGCCAAGTCTCACTTTTCATTGTTATTTGTTGTGATAAGTGACTTTATCCAGATCTTCACCAGCAATTGGTCACTCTCTGTTAGTGCATTATGTGTCACAATCTACTGTCTGTAAAAGTCAGGCATGATCTGTTCATGTTTGGTCGATGTGTAATTAGTGCCAACAAACTGTATAGTATGCACCCTCTTGATCTGGCTATCATGTTGCAAGATTATAATTTTGCCATCATTGTCCAGAACTTTTCCTGGGTCTTTCCATTCTTTTTTGCCCCTCTTCTCTTGCAATACACCATATCCCTGGGATTACAATTCTTTTCCTGACACAATACCATAAAACTCTCCAAATCTTTTCTGAAACCCCCACATGCATGCATGCACGCAAACATACAAAATTAGAGCTGAAGGAGGCCATTCAGCTGCTTGAATCTATCCTATCATTCAATAACATCATGGTTGATTGGTTCAATTTACCCTCCGTAAACTTAGATTTCCTTGTCCATCATAACCCTGATTCCTTTATTGATTAAAAATCTGTCTATCTCAGTCTTGAATATACTTGATGAACCAGCCTCTCCAGCCCTCTGGTCTAAAGAATTCGCCAGAGTCACTACCCTCTAAGAGAAAAAAATTCTTCCTACCTCTGTCCCAACTAGACGACTCCTTACTCTGAGATTACTTACTCTAGACTCTTCCACAAAAAGGCTCTCCACATCTACTGTTAGGGTCTCATGAATCTCATATGTTTCAGTCAACTCACCTCTCATTCTTCTAAACTCCAATGAGCACAGGTCTAACCTACTCAACTTCTCAAGAACCTCATGGTCCCTCTTTATCTATCCTGCTTGTTACTTCCTCAAAAGAACAATAATATATTTGTCAGGTATGATTTCCCCTTCATGAAACTATGATGACTCTGCTTGATTTTATGATGTATTTCTAAACACTCTGTTACATCCTTTACAACACAAGCATTTTTCCAACAGACACTTTCCCAGCTAACTGGCCCATAGCTAGCTGTTTTGTGCCTCCCCGCAACCCCCCCACCACCTTTTTAAATAATGGCAATTTTGTAATTCTCTGGGATGTTTCCCAAATCTAAGGTTTTTTAGAAGATTACTACCAGTGCACTGCTTATCTCTGCAGCTTCTTCTTTAAAATTCTAAGATGCAACCCATCAGGTCCAGGGAACTTATCAGCCTTTAGCCCCATTAGTTTCCTGAGTACTACTTCTCTCTCGTGATAGTTATTGTATTTATTTGCTCTCCCCTATAGCCCCTTGATTATTTAGCATTTTTGGAATGATATTAGTACCTTCTACCATAAAGACAGACTCAATGTGAATATTCAACTCCTCTGCCAGCATCATTCTTTAAGGGGCCTACGTTCACTTTGGTTTCTCTCCTCCTTTTTATATTTTATCAATTTTAATATAACTTGCGAGTTTACTCTCAAAGTTTATTTCCTACCAAGGTGAACAACTTCAATTTTTCTACATGATGCTACATCTGCCAGACATTTTTTGCCAACTTGCTCAACCTATGTACATATTTTTGCAACCTCATGTCTCATTCACAACATACCTTTCTACCTATCCTGGTGTTGCCTGTAAGTTTAGTAACCATGCTTTCACTCCTCTTAAACAAGTTACTGGTATTAATTTTAAATAATTGAAGCCTTAGCACAAACCTGTGCAGAACTCCAAACATCACATCCTGCCAATTCAGACAAAGACTCATTTATGCAAGTTTGTTTTCCACCAGCAGCCAATCTTCTATGCATGCTGATATGTTACCCCACTACATGAGTTTTTAGTTTCTGCAATAAGCTTTGATGCAGCATCTTATTAAATGCCTTCTGGAAATCCAAGTACAATACATCTACAGGCTCCCTTTTAACCACAGCACATATTACTTCTTTAAAAACTCCAATAGGTTGGTTAAACGTGGTGTCCCTTTGATGAAACCATGCTAACTCTTCCTGATTACCTTGAGGTTTTCTAAGTGCACTGCTATAATCTCTTGCATGATCGATTCTAAAATCTACCTCACAACAAATATCAAGCCAGCCGGTCTACAGTTTCCTCTTTTCTTCCTTCATTCTCCCTTTTTGAAGACAGGAGTTACATTTGCTACTTTCCATTCTAATTGAACTTACAACGAATCAAAGGCATTTTTGGAAAATTAACATTGACATGTCTACTTGCTCATTAGCAAACTCTTTTAAGACTCTAGGATGAAAACCTGGATCCCAAGATGTGTCAGAATGCATTTGTTTGCTTAGTACCATTTCCTTCATGATTATAATTTTAAGTTCTTCTGTCTTTTCCACAACCTGATTTACAGCTATTACTGGAATGGTGGTTGTATCCTCTATAGTGAAGGTAGATGCAAATGATTTTTTTCATTTTATCCATCATTTCCATGATATCTACTATTAGTTCTTCATTCACTTTGTCCAGAAGATCAGCACTCATTTTACTTACTAATTTTCCTTTTTCAATTCTTGTAGAAGCTCTTACTATCCATTTTTACATTCCTAGCTACCTTCTTCCTCTAGCCTAACATGTCAGTGCACTTCAGCAAGTTCAGCTTTCGTGCACGCATGCTTGTCCTTATTTAGATTTAAAATTCTAGTCTTAAATGCAAATTTCTGCCTATTAAACTGCATGTTAAATTAAATTATACTGTGGTCACTACTACATAAGGGTGCCTTTAGTCAAGGTCACTAATTAATCCTGTCAAATGGTATGACATTCAAATGGTCTTCAAATACTGAACTAATTGTAGTCCTTTGCAAAGCTGGAAGATGATCCTATGTGAATAAAAGGCATTTTCAGATTCCTGTAATAAAGTAATTGATCACAGCTATAGTCCCCCAACTGTCTGGAGTGTGTTTATTGAATATACCGTCCACACTAAAGAAGCTGTTATTTTAGAATTCAGTTGGTCAGCTAAATTTTTTAGGACCACTTAGTCCACTCCATATTTAAAATGTTAACCTCTGTGTCATTTTCTTCCAGATCGGAAAAGTCTCATCTCTGCATTCCGACCTCAGGAGCAGAAATCAGAGTTTACACTTGGAGTACTATGTAGAGTTTTGTCTATGTTGCATCAGAATAATTCAGAGAAGGTTCATTCACCTGATAGCTGAGATGGAGGGATTATGTTATAAGGCAAGGAAAGCTAGGGTGTGTATCCATTGGAGTTTAAAAGAATGCAAGGTGATCTTGTACAACGTACAAGACCCTTGATTGGATTTTGTGGATGTCGAGAGAATTCTTTCCCCTTATGGGAAGGGTACTGAGTTTAAAACTACAGGGTCCCTATTCAAAATGGAGATGAGATTTTTTTTTCTGTCAGACGGTCAGTCGTGTGTGAAATTCACTTCTCCATACAGCATTGGAGCTAGGATCATTAATATTTATAAGGTTGAGTTACATGGATTGTTGTCTGATGAGGGGATACAAGATTATAGGGGATAGAAAGGAATGTGAAGTTGAGGCCACAATGAGAAGTGCCATATTCTTACCAAATGGCGGTGGTGGAGGCTTTGCAATTCTTTTGTATTAATAAGCTCCCATAATGGGCAAATAATTGGTTAATAAAGTTTAACACAGATAGGTATTGGTAGGAAGAATAGAGAGGTTGCTTGGGAAATGCAAATCTAGGTGGGGTAGACAAATGAAGGGAGGTTGGAGTACAAATCAGTAAAAGTTGTGCCACATGTTAATGAAGCCACAAAAAAAATAGCAAAAGTAAGCACAAACTTTGTTTCTACGTCAGGAGTAAAAGGTAGGGAAATTATGCTGAAGCTTGGTTAGACTACCATACGTAGTTCTGGTCACCAAATTAAAAGAAAGCTTGTTGAGGCACTAGAGAGGATGCAGAGAAGATTAATACCAGAAATACATGGGGAAATATATCAGGAATATTGACAATCTGATTCATTTTTCCCTTGAAAAAATTGGCTGAGGAGTGACTTAATGGAGGTGTTTAAAATTATGAACAGTTTTGGTACATAGGTATAGAGACAATGATTCCTCATGAGGAACTGCATAACTAGAGGACATCAATTAAAGATATTCACCAAGAAACTTAATTACCCAACAGAGAGTGATCAAAGTGCATAGTTCACATGAATTTAAGGGGTAGCCAGACCAGCAAGGGAACAAATAGCTGTGATCGTCGATTTCGATGAGAAAATATTGGAGGAAGCTCAGGTAAAACATAAACACCAGCACAGGCTGCTGGGCAGATTAGTCTGTTTCTTTCCTGCATACTATTCGGTCTTGTTTTAGTATCCCCCATAATTATACAAATAACATCCAACTCAATTGCCTGTACATTAAAAACAGACGTTCAAGCCTGAAACTGCAAAACTCCAACCAACATCTTCCATGGTCCTGCACTAAAGAAGTATTCCATTTTCCACTTTTAAACCAACTTCTTATACAGTACACAGCAATTTGCATTTATATAGCGCCATAGCGCCTTTGATGCAATTAAAAACATCCTAAACTTTTCCATCAAAATAAATTGTCATTCAAGATTTTGAAAAGGACAGAAGTTATTTGGGAAAGCGCACAGACCAACGTCCTCAGCTTTCAGTAACAGACTATTGTGTGTTATTTATTTGTTGTCTCCGCAAGCTTCAGGCTGAGCGGATTTCATCTCGACTCATACCTAAAAGTCAACGTGAGCACTGTGTCGCCTCAAACTAAAGCCCTCAGTGAGTTTTAAAGTAAATAAATTGTCCTTAATCCTATCCCCACCCTTTCGCTTACCGCCATGTTGGTGCTGGAGACAAGGAAATGATTCAAACTAGGGGCCCGCATCGCCAGAGATTCACATTCTTACCGATTAGCGCCCCCTTTCCACCGCCGAAAGAATACATCCTCCTCGAAACCCCCAAGAAAATCATTAGAAAATGCTGATCCATTTCCTCAAAAACTGATAACTCAAAAAGCAATCAGTGCAACTGGAGGCGGAATAGAAACTTGCGTTGGAAGAAGAAAATCAAAAACCTGGTGTAGGCTTACGTGTCCAAGGCATAAATGCATTTTGTTTTCGAGGAGGATGCTTATCTTGACCTCTGACAAATTTGATGTCTTGGCGTGCTTTCTAGCATCTCCAAATCTAACTGTCACAATTAATGTTATCCCTTCGAATTTCTTCCGGCCACTGTTGCTGCCAGGTGTGCTGATTAATGAAGAAAAATAAAGACGTGAATTTATATAGCGCCTTTCACATACACAAGCCATCCCTAAGGGTTTTACAACCAGGTGAAATATAACCACTGGTTTAATGTGAAAATTGTAGCAGTCCAACGTATGCATAGCAAGCTCCCACTACAGCAATATGATACTAACTAGAAAATCTGTTGATGGAGGAATAAATATAAGGACACCAGGAATAATTCCTCAATTCTTCTTTGAAACGGTATTATGGGATCTTTGATAAAACGGTGTAGAGCTGGATGAACACAGCAGGCCAAGCAGCATCAGAGGACCAGAAAAGCTGTCGTTTCGGGCCTAGACCCTTCTTTGGAAATGCTGAAATGGGATCTTGTATGTCCACTGGAGAGGGTAGACCAGGCCCCAGTTTAATATCTAAAAGTATTGCCTAATGATTCTATTAGAGTTTCAGCCTAGACTTTCCTGTGCTGGACCTGGAGTGGAATTTCAATTAAAAGTCTTGAAACTTGAAGGCAAGAGTGCTATCACCTGAGATACAGCTGACACCAATGTAAAAATAAGTGGTCTTCAAATGTAAGACGTTATTGTGTATTAGCGTACTGTACTTTAGGTTTCAGTACCTTCTTTCCTGAAGAAAGGTGTACTTGTAACTCTTATCATGGCTCAATTAGTAACATGCATTGTAAAATTGCATCAGATACTCACTTCTCAGGTTCACACATGAAATATGGTCACTTAGAATCATAGAGGTATACAGACCGGAAACATACCCTTCAGTCCAATTCATCCATGCTGACCAGATATCCTAAATTGATCTAGTCCCATTTGCCACATTGTCAGAAAGCAAATGATGTTTATGGAGCCATTTCCCAGTGATAGGCTGAGAAATCAAGGGTCAGGATCAAACAGGGACACCGTGAAAAATAATGGAATGGGACAAAACTAAAAAGAGAAGCCATAAGGCTTTGTGCCTTAATTCTATTTGCAATAAAGTGGATGAAGGAATCGCGCAAATAGATGAAAACAGGTATGGTGTAATTGGAATTACAGAGATATTGCTGCAGGGTGACCTGGGATGGAAACTAGAGGAAAAGGTAGTGGATTGAATTGCTGTTTAAATAGGAATTTAATGTAATATTCAGGAAGGATAGCTCCAACAATGTGAAATCTGTATGCGCAGAGCTGAGAAACACCAAGAGGCAAAATACATTAGTGGGGATTGTATATAGACTCTCAAACTTGGGAATGACATTAAACAGAAAATCAGAGAAGCAGGTAATGAGCGAATGTCTGTAATTATGAATGATTTTAATCTACACATAGATTGGGCAAATCAAGTGAGTAACAATACTGTAGAGGAGAAATTCCTAACTGTGAATGTGATTGTTTTCTTATTCAATATATTGAGGAACCAACTAGAGAACAGGCCATCCTAGATTTGGTTTTGCGTAATGAGAAAGGAATAATTGGCATTCTTGCTGTGTGTGGCCCTTTGGGGAATTCCTCACCAAGGTGGAGAGTAACACATTCTGAGACTAGGGTCCTGAATCTAAATAGGGTAAAGTACAATGGTGTGAAGCATGAGAAAATAAAGTACAACAGTAAGCTTGTGAGGAACATAAAAACTGATTGTGAAAGTTTCTATAGGTATGTGAACAGAAAAAGGTTGGTGAAGATAACTATAGATCCCTTACAATCAAAAACAGGGGAATTTATAATGGGGAACAAAGAAATGGCTGACTGACAAAATAGGAATATTGCTTCAATGTTCACCAGGGAGGACACAAATAACATACCAGAAATGTTGGGGAATTATAGATTAATTAGCATGACATCGATAGTGGAAAAATGTTAGAGTCCATAATAAAATACTTAAGCACTTGGGAAAACAGTGGCAAGATCAAACATAGCATGGATTTATGAAAAGGAAATCATGCTTGACAAATTTACTGGAATTCTTCAAGGAGGTAACTTGTAAAGTTAATGAGGGGGAGCCAGTGGATGTGGTTAATTTGGACTTTCAGAAGGCTTTTAACAAAATCCTATGTGAGAGGTTGGTATGTAAAATTAAAGCACTTGGAATTGGGGCTAATGTATTGAAATAGATAGAAGACTGGTTGGCAGACAGGAAACAAAGAGCAGGAATAAACACGTCTTTTTTCCTATTGTCACGCTGTGACTTACAGGGTACCACAGGGATCAGTGCTTGGACCCCAACTATTCACAACATATATTAATGATTTGAATGAGAGAGGTAGATGTAATATCTCCAAATTTGCAAATGATACAAAACTGAGTGGGAGGGTGAGCTGTGAGAAGAATGCAGAGATGCTTCAGTGTGATTTAGACAAGCTGAGTGAGTGGGAAAATGCAAGGCAGATGCAGTATAATGTGGGTAAGTGTGATGTTATCCACTTTGGGAGCAAAAACAGAAAGCAGATTATTATTTGAATCTCCATAAATTGAGAGAAGGGCATGGGTGTCCTTGTACACCAGTCACTTAAAGTAAGCATACAGGTGCAGCAGGCAGTCAAGAAGGCAAACTGACTGTTGGCCTTCATAGTAAAAAGATTTGAGTACAGTAATAGGTATGTCTTGTTGCAATTATATAGGACCTTGGTGAGACCTCACCTAGAATATTGTGTGCAGTTTTGTTTTCCTTACCTGAGGACAGATGTTATTGCTATAGAGGCAGTGCAATAAAGGTTTGCCAGACTGAGTCCTGGGATGATAGTACTGATGTATGAAGAGAGGTTGAATCATTTAAGATTATATTTGCTGGAATTCAAAAGAATGAGGGGAGATCTTATAGAAAAGTATAAAATTTTAATAGAATTAGACAGGGTTTGTTCCCAATGACAGAGGCGTCCAGGTTCACAGTCTAAGGATATGGCATAAACCACTTATAGGACTGAGACAAGGAGAAATTTTTTCACCTAGACAGTGATAAGCCTGCAAAATTTGCTACCACAGAAAGCAGTTGAGGTCAAAACATTCCCAAGAAGGAGTTGGATGTGGCCCTTGGGTCTAATAGGATCAAACGATACAGGGGAAAAGTGGGAACAGGGTATAGAGTTGAATAATCAGCGTTACTGTTACCTTACTCAAGTGACCACTAATTATACATGAGTATTGAAAATAATCAAATCAAATCTTCAGGAACAGAGAGGTAGAAGAATATTGAAAGCAAATACTTTTAGGTTGTAAGCTATTTCTCCCTTCACCCCACCCCCAGCCTCACAATATTCACCCCAAACATAGTTAAATCAACTGCTAACAATAACTATGTTTACGTGTGAAGAATTGTCACTTAGGCTAAATATTGAAGGTCTATTGGTATGTATAAAATTGTTGATTCCTTTTAAAGAAGGCAGGAGAAAGCAAAAAGTATATTAGAGTCTATTTTAAGTCCAACTGCTGTTGACTAAAGCAAAGCAATATTGATGTAGGAAATTGAGTTTACAACTTCACAAGAACACAATTTTAATAAATGGGCAATTAGACAGTTTTATCATCAATGTGCACTTGTATTTTCTTAAGTTTCACTTTTTGTGTTGTGACCATTTGCTCAGTTTCCAGTTTAAATTACAGAATACAAAAGACTAAGTAACCACTAGAACAAGAAGAAACTTGGGATACTGATATAATAACATGATATTATTCAAAAGACCAGCCTGCTGCCTGTGGACAATGATTTTGAGAAACCAGTTATATCAGGAAGCTCCTGCCTGCAACTTTTAACATCTTTCAAGCTCGAGAGATTTATAAACTGCTTTTTTATAAGCTGCTTTTTTTTCATTTTCTGTGTTTTTATTTGTTTTACCAATTATAATTCGACAAAAGGTAAAGGTATTTTATCAGTGTAATTATAAAGTCAAGAGGAAAAGCAATTCTGATTTTTTAAAATGTAAAGTGTAAAGGATAAGAAAATCAGCCCAGTTTCCTGTGTGAATTGAAATTGTACATTTATGCTAACAGTACAGTGAGTTGGTCTAGCCTAAGTAACCCTCCTCCTATTCAGAGATAGTAGGAGTACACCTACAGTACACCTCCTCTCACCCACCTTCCTGCAAAAAGGCCATCCCCTATTCCCAATTCCTTCGCCTCCGCCGCATCTGCTCCTGAGATGAGACATTCCGCTCCTGGACATCCCAGATGTCCTCGTTTTTCAAGGACCACAACTTCCCCTCCACAGTGATCGAAAATGCCCTCGACCGTGTCTCTCGCATTTCCCGCAACTCATCCCTCACACCCCCTCCCCGCAATAATAACCAAAACAGAATCCCCCTCATCTTCACGTACCACCCCATCAACCTCCGGATCCAACGCATCATCCTACGACACTTCCGCCATCTGCAATCCGACCCCACTACCAAAGATATTTTTCCCTCCCCACCCTTATCTGCTTTCCGGAGGGACCACTCTCTCCGTGACTCCCTTGTCCACTCCACACTCCCCACCAGCCCCACCACCCCCGGCACTTTTCCCTGCAACCGCAGGAAGTGCTACACCTGCCCCCATACCTCACCCCCATCCCAGGCCCTAAGAAGACCTTCCACATCAAACAGATGTTCACCTGCACATCTGCTAATGTGGTATACTGTATACGCTGTTCCAGATGTGGCCTCCTCTACATCAGGGAAACCAAGCGGAGGCTTGGGGACCACT